GATATATAAGCTTTCTAAGGTTATGTTATACCTATGGGCTAGTCGATTGGTGTTAAATCATACACAGGTACTTGGTGTTAACTCAAAAGTGACTTCAGATCCTGGTGTGTACCATGAAAATCCCTCAACTATGCTAACCAAATCGCCTTGAAGAGCAGCTAAAGAAGATAGGACAGCTCTTAGACGCACAGCAATCTTCAAAACCTGTTCCTTCACAAGTTCTGAACAATTTAACTTGTGTTACTGCTGCACTACGAAAGCACACGAAGAATCTGTGTTTTAAAGTTGGTTATAATATAGTATTTTTGGTTTGGAAACGCCTAATGAGCACGCTTTTTATGTGAAAAAATTTCGTATAATCTTTTATATAACCTGATAACTGTACAACATATGATAGTGTATTTCTACATTGCACTTTGCACCTACATCCATGTGATGTTTTCGTGGATGTCTGGGATTGTTTTCAACTTAATGTTGAAGATGTCACAGGTATTCGGAGATTGACAACGCTTTGACCAATAGCACCTAATATGAATCATACCCACCAAGTGAAATCAAAAGACAGAAGCGAGGAGGTTCAAAGATATATTTGACAGGCTATCAATATATCGAGGATTGTCTGATCTAATCTGGTTAGCGATTGCAGGGGTTGTTGAGCACGGCGTTCCCACTAGTGATCTGGTGCGGATGCATGACCGAGAGCCTTCAGCCAGATGAGTCCACTAAAACTAATGTGGTCAGCATTCAATGTCGAAAACTTCAGAGCTATTTATTTTGAGGATTTGTTCGCCGCTACAGATCACTCCCCCATCTTAGTGGGGTAGTGCTAACCCTAAGACGTGGCCAACCAGAAGTTTAAAAGCAACGAGTTTGTCGTTGGTAAACATTCTTCTGATAGCTTGCTATGCTTAGCAGCGTCTAGTTGTCTTTCCTCACTAAAAGGGACCATGAAGTACAATATAGTTAAAAAAAATAATGTGCGATGAAAAGTTTAGTTCCTCGTAAACCTCATTGTTCTTTTCATCGTATTTTCCAGCAGCCCTGGGAAAGAAAAAAAGAATATGTAAGTGCATGTCGAAATGAACTCATACGCGCGTTAAGACACAAAGTGGTCGAAAAAAGGAAAATAAACTGATGTACATGTGATAGCGTAAAAGCGATTTTTACAAAACGTTATTTTTTAAAAAGTTTCAGTATACATATTATCAGAATAATAAATATATATAAATATAAGCATAATGCCATGGGAAATCAAGATGAAGCAAAATATTGACTTGTGTCTTACTTGCAATAGTCATTTAAATGTTCTGGAAATCTTACTCTTCTTCCGGAAAGCGTTGTTCTAAGTTTATTTTCAGATACTGTTCAAGTATCATTGTGTGTGTTGATTGTCGGATGAGGTATTATGAGGGTCGGAGTCGTTTCGTTCGATTGTACCGAAGGAAAATCGACGTAGATAGTATTTCCTCCTAAATACGCTGCTTTTAGGCGATCGATGCAGATGCTATCGTTGGTTCAGTTCTTATCGATTATATAGTACTTCAGTTCGCGTTGAAGAGCTTTGAAAGGTCATTTGTATGCTGATTAGAAAGGTCGTCGATGCCAGTCTTGAGGAACGAAGACGTGTGTACTATATCGTAAGTCAGGTTGAACGAAAACATCAGTTGGTTGTGATCGAGTGGAAACAGGTTTAACTGAACGCATTGTGTTTGTAAGCCTGTTTGTGTAGAAGGTTAGATTCATGTTCATTGAAGAAAATGAAGGATACACGAATTCTCCCGGAAGTCGAGGTGTCATTCCATGAACGAGTTGAGCAACTTTCACTGCATTGCGAATACCTAGTAATACGAGTGAAAGAGCTTCAGTTCATTGAGAAATATTTGCAGCTGAAGCTCTAAGCTGTCGGTGAGAGCGTTACACCAAACCGTTTGTTTGTGGGTGGTAGGCGGTCGTTCGGAAGTGCGTGATTCCTAATAGTGCGGTCAGACAATGGAAAAGTTCAGATTCGAACTAGCGTCTACGATCTGAAGTGATAGTTGAAGAGCATCCAAATTTTGCTACCCACCGTTCGACGAAGGAGCGGGTCACTGTTTCAGCGTTGATGTCGTTGATAGATACTGATTCTGGCCATCGAGTGAAACGGTCTACGCAGGTTAAGAGAAAAGAGTATCCACTTCAATCTGATGAAGGTCCTACCAAATCCAGATGAACATAGTAGAAACGATTGTCAGAAGATTTGAAAGGGCCAAAGGGACATTTGTTGTGTCTAATAACCTTAGATTTTTGGCAGCTTACACAGGAGCGTGCCCACTCCGTCACGTCTTTATTCATAGTAGTCCAAGAAAACCGTTTTGCCATGAGCTTGATGGTTGCACGAATACCTGGATGAGAACGTTTGTGCAAAGTATTGAAGACATTGCCTCGATAAGGGTTCGGCACGATTGGATCGTCCCTACCTGTAGATGTGTCACAAAATAAGATTTTCTAACCTGTTTCCATCCGTTTAATGCGCATTTTAAGGGTTGTTGACGATAACTCATGCTGAAGATCAGTGTCTTCTTTTTGATGCTGGGCGAAATTAAGAAGATCGATGCCTTGGAAAATGTTCAAGGAAGTTATGCGAGAAAAGGAGTCTGCGACTACATTGTTTGCTCCAGAACTGTGTTGAATTTCTGAAGTAAACTGTAAAATGCAGTTCAGTTGTCGAGACTCAGGTGGTGACTACTTGTCCGAAGAGGAGCTTAAAGAGAAAGTAAGAGGTTTATGGTCAGTAAAAAGGGTGAATTCACGACCTTCGATATAGTGTTGCAAATGCCGCACAGCACAATACATAGCTAGGAATTCCCTACCGAAAGTGCTGTACCTCGATTCAGTGTCTATCAACCATCTAGAGAAAAATGCCGAAGGTTGCCAGGAGTTGCTAACTCATTGTTGTAAGACTCCTCCGATTGATGGGTCGGATGCGTCTATTGCGATACTAATGGGTGCTTCGGTTTCCTGATGAGCAAGCATTGTTGCTTTAGCGATAAGTTCCTTAATTGTGGAGAATGCTTTCCGTGCAGTGTCGTCCAGATTGATAGTTTTCGCATTTTCACGAAGTTGGTCGGTAAGCGGTTTCATAAGTGACACGCATTTCGGTATGAACCGTCTATAGAAACTTTGAGGGCCGTTAAACATGCGTAATTGCCTGAGAGTGGTGAGTTCTGGGCAATCGAGAATGGCCGTCGCTTTGGTTCCAAGGAGTCGGATGCCTTGCAAATCTATAGTGTGTCTTGGGATGGGTGAGTTCCAATTTGACAATTTTGAATGTTTTCAGTAGTGCCATGTTTTTGTAGTCGGTAGAAAACGAGATCCAGATGTTGGAGATGCGATTCTCTCTCCGGACTTGCTATTAGGCAATCATCAACAAACGCACGTACGAAGTAGAGAACTCGAAAAACGTACTCTATGAACTTTTGGAAAGTTTGAGCAACATTTCTTAGACCGAAAGGCACTCGCAAAAATTCGTAGAGTCCGAAAGGAGTTATGATAGCGGTTTTTGGGAATATCGTCAGTAGCCATAGGGATTTGGTTATATGCTTTAACCAAGTCAGTTTTCGAAAAGACAGTTATGCCTTTCAAGGTAGCTGTCAAATCGTGTGTGTGAGGCAACGGTAACGACCGGGATTGATTTCCTTATTTAATCGCTGATATCCACCAGTAGGACGCTAATCGTTGCTGTCCTTTTTAGGGACGGTGTCATGGTACCTAAGTCTATCATGTGGTGGAATCCGTTTTTCGTTATCAATAAGATGTGCCAACATAAAACTGCGAAAAGATAGCGGTCATGCAGTAGATAAATCGAAATCATTTCAAGTTATCTATCGCATACCTCCATCATTTCCCGATGGAGTCCGTTCCCGTCTCCTATATATAGCTGAAGCCATTGGAATTCGTACATATAACCTCAATTTATGTGTACAGAAGAAATACGTGACCCCATGGCCAGTTATAACTTTACTAACAATTCTTTTTTTAAATTTTATTATTATCATCATTTATTTTATTCTATTTTGTTATCATTAACCTTATTTCCACATCCATTATGTGTTTGTAATTTTCCGCCTCTTTGTATTCTTCACTATCTAATTATTTACACACATCTTATTACGTAATGATTTTAATGTTTTGTGATTACTATTCTCAGTCTATTTACCCATGTTTATTTGACCTTCTATTTCCAACGATTAACTGTTGATAAGAGTTTTGTTATTGTATTTTATTATTCTCACAATTATCAGTTCACCTGTCTTCCTACTATCAACTTGTACTTTTACCTATTATGTGTAGTGACTTATTCTATTTCATTGTTGTTATTGACTCATATTGCCTTGATTGGTTTAAAATTTTCATATAAATATTCATGTATATTAGAGTAAAGCCTGATGAAGATCTAATTGAAAACAATTGTTCGCTTATATGTGTTGTTCTAATTCATCTTGATCAACTAGGAGATCAGATTGATCAACCTTACTGCTTATTACTGTCCAGACTTTTCAAAGAAAGATTATTGATATCCTAAGCAACATCGGTGACTAATTGATGCAACAAATGAGCGGTGGCGGGCTCAAGATAGCTCCTTACGGAACTCTACTTTTAACTTTTTTTTTTACCTTATTTACCCACTTCTATTTTATTTAGCATAAGAGGAGGTTTCTTACCCAGTTTCATGTAATATCTGTTATTCAGAATCTGAGAAACCAATTGGTAATCCATGGGAAAAAACTTGGTGATTAGCATGTTGAAGCCTACGGATACAGCCTACATAGTCAAATAATCTTCTTGGGTCACCCTACAGACTTCACTTACAATTAGTAGATTGGCCTAAGTGAAGCATCTATTCCTACATTCTGATTGATGAATAATGGTTATCCTGAATCTCATAATGCAAGATGAGAAAAAAATGTCACAAAGGAACCAGAAAGATAATTCGATGTTCACTTTAGATTATTTGACAACCTACATTAGACATTGTTAAAATGTAGGGGTAGTTTGAAGTATAACGTTGTAACACATTTGTGACCCTGTTTGAAGGTCTAGTTTGGACTGTCTATTTTTCTTAAACTCCTTTTGCACTACTAATAGTTGTTGTAAATTACTTCATCAAGGAATGTAAGTATGTTTTCCAGCATATTGAGCATCCCGTCATAGTTTACTCTTGTTTTTCCTGAAGCTCCTATACTTCTACTAGGACTCAACAAAAATGGCTTCGGTTGATGGTGTCGACAAAAGTGAACTTAAGGTTTGTATAGACGATGATTTAGTATTTTTCTTCTATAGCAAGAGTCGGAAAAAGTTCATGCCAAATACCCTGGTTTGATTAATAATGCATCATCGTTGCTACATCGACGGCTAAGTAAAAATGTAAGTATAAGGGGTCATTTAACAGTCAGTATAACTTAAAAAATTTGTAGACTCAAATCTAACTGAAAGTGTTGAAATGCAAGATTCTTATGTTCTAGTTAAGGCAGGTCATAATAGTTACACAGTCAATAAGAGTAGATTATTTATTTAAATGAGTGGGTTTCAGCCAAGTACAGGAAGTTTTACTCTTTTATCCTTATATGCCTGCCTGTACTAATATTTAAAGCAACTATACTTTGCCTGAGGTGTACAGCTTTTTATCGGAATATGTTATAGTGCTGGACAGATTTAGGTATGCGATGGATAATTTCGATGGGTGGATTCCTAGCTTGACATGAGTTAGAGTCACTTACAATAATTTCAGATTCTGGTTTCTACCTTAAACACAGGTGTTTAAATGACTTAGTTTTTGCCGGTTCGGGATTGTTTGGCCTTTATTCTCTTGATTAACTCAAACAGGTACCACTTACTAGAAGATCCTAAAGCCTGGTTTCCTGATAGATAAAGCCTCACTGCACCGAGAACCAGATACTTATTGTCTTTAGAGTAAACTTGTGTGGGTTCTTTTTTACCTAGTTGAGAGAGAATATATCAGGTTCAAAATCACTAGGTCATGATTGAGTCATATTGATTTATAACACCTTAATGTTAAGAGATCTAACTTCAAAAACCGCTCATCTGAAGGTAATGTAAGTTGCAGTCATCGGTCTTCTGAACTTTGTATTAATTTCAGGTCAACTTCCAAAAAGGGACTTGCACTCCGAGCGGTTGCTTAGTTTTAGCTTCGCCAGTTCTGTGTAATATAGTTTACACATTTTTTTTTTATCAAACTCCATGAAAGTCTCCAATGTCCATAGTGTTCTAAACATTTTAGTCGCGACTCAATAGTAGTAAACCATTCTTTGAGTCACAAATATCTTATTCCGTAACCTGTTAGTTTTTTTTCATATCACTTGTTCTTTCTGATTACCCATTAATGCTAGTGTATATTTCCATTCCTTTGGTTTTCCTGTTGTTGGTTTTCGTTGAGTTCCATTGTAGTGTTTTATATTCATATGCAGGTTTTGAATCATGTTCTTAGCTTCTATGTCAAATTATTTATTCCTTATTTGATTTTAAAGTGTAATTTTTCCATAGTATTCAGACCGGTTCTAAGTGTCATCTTATACGTACTGCTTGAGTCTTCTTGCTGCGTTCCAGAGGTGTCTTCTATACCAATCAGTAAGTGTATGACATTGCTATTTCACTAACCGTCTCGGGTTCTTGATATACTTTTCTGATACTTCTGACTTTTGTTTCTACTTTTAACACTTGATTTTACTTTCAGAAAAGCTTTATGATTTTGTGTTCTGACGTGTTTTTCGGTTGTTAGATGAGTTGTCATTCTATTTCCATTACCTTAGTCTACATATCTAAAAATCGGTTATGGAATATTTTGAATTAATAGACGCTACATTAAGTGACGTATTTAAACGTATCTTATCATAAGTTGCAAAGACAAATAACTTCTAATTATTATTTAGTTTAGCAATCAGTTTTCTAAGATAAAGTTAGGCTTACGTTTATTTCTTTAACCCCAGTTAAATCTAGTATTTTGTTCATTTAGGTGAAATATTTCGATTCTGGCGACTATAACATGGCTAAGTCGAGGCCAGTAGTAAAGGATTCCTTTCCCTCAGGTAGTTTGGATTCACCGACGGGGGATACTATTCCAACTGTGGACAATATATCTGTACTACGGAGTAAAAGTATTTCATTACAAAACAATACTACTATATTACCACAATCAACAACAGCATGTACAACACCAACAAGTAACTCAACTGCCACAACTACATGCCGTTATATAACTATACCAGCTCGTACACAAGTTGCTAAATAATCGTTTGTAAATCTACATGCCGATTGTTAATATCTCATCGCTCCATATTTGATTAAACTTGGTTACGTAGTCTTTCATATGATTGATAACGAGAATTTCGATATTTATAACCACGCTAAAGGATTATCATGTTGATAATAATGACGCTACCAATAATGCAATTCTCTTCCATGTATAATTCAGCTTCCATAATATGCTTTATAAATTATTTTTGCATTCGTAATATACTTGAATTTTTAAAACTTGTGGTACTAGATAGTTATTTTATGTTTTAATCGAATCGTCTTGTTTACATGTAATTGCTGTAATGAAATTGACACTTATACAATAGATTTCCATCAAGGTCGTTGCTGATATGGAAAGTTTATAATTTGCAATGACGAGCGATTGGGGGTTGTGCAATGTGTAAAAGCAATACTGACCGATGGATGGAATGAAATAATAAAATCTAGCGAAGTGGTGGGTACTCACAAGATCGAGTTATCAACACAACTCCCGTTGATGAACATAGGTTACAGACAAGGTCACTTGCCAGAAAGGTAGTTTCCTACCTAATAAGATAATATGCTTGTAACACAACAATAAATATGACTAGATGTCCTAAGCTACTAGAGGATATCGGTTTAGTGGGTCACTGGTTCTCCAGCGAATTGAGGTTTTATTGTTAGATTTAGTTCCAGTTCGTCATATCACTGTAGCAAACTTCCGTCTCAGTGTGATGGTTTAGTTTCTGCTGCTGGTGAGAATTAAACTATCTTAAGCTGACAGTTTGTGGATTTTAGTAATTTGAATTTGACTGACATTTAGGGGCGAGAAAGCATGGATCAGTTTTGTTTAATTTTGAGACTACTTAACAGTAAACTCCCTCTTATCTTTTGAGTTTAAAAGTTCTTTGTTCCTAATTATAAAGATTTCCATAAAACTGCCAAGTCGAAATTCGAAGACTGAGTGCTAAATTTAATGTTTCTGAACATTGGTTCGCACATAACGTTAGCGATATTGTTTACTTAACATCTGAAGTGAACATATCACTCCTTTTTAACGAAAGTGATGTTCCATCGGAGAAGATTTAAATGATTTTTTTGTCGATAAGAATGTAGTGTCCAGATATATGCAGGTGAGTTGTAAAGTTTTAGGCTACTATTAAGTTTATTGGCAGTGCTGATCTCATATGTCTATTAAGAAAATGGAGTTAATTTAAAATTTATCGTTTATTTACATGATACAGTTCAACCAGTTTGGTAAGACATTCATTTGTCAAATCACTAAGTACAAAGTGCATAGAATGTACAAGGAGAGTTAAACCAAGGCAGGACGAGACACTGGATGTATTATATTTGGATAAGTTTTTGTAGTGTTGATGGAAACTGGTTATTTGTACCAGAGCCGATTAGGCAATTCATGATTGAAAACACAATTTTTATTCTTTGCAGCGACTTTTTCGTCTGAGCATATTTTAATTACATGTGTAAGGTTAACAATATTTTGTGGTTGTTCCTTGCTTAGAAAAGATGAAAACACGCAGGATTCTGAAGGTCAGTCATCAGATAATGCGGTCGGTGAATTGTAGACAAAATTTATTTCTCAGTGAAGTGTTCCTCACTAGAGTAGTTTTGAAAAAAAACTACATACATGAGTCTCGGATTTTAAAGTTTATCTGCATCATCTCAGCAACTGCCTTCGGTCGCCATCATTTTTACTCATGAACTCCATTTTAAATTCTGTTGTGCAAGTAATTTCATTCACCTCGTAGAATTCGTTTACTAAAAGGATATTCTAAACGCTCAAGGTTGATTAGTAGTTGAAGCACTTGTCTTTCATTGATTGGATAGTTACTTAGAACCGCACCAATCATGTTAGTATAATCGACCAGATAGTGATTCATTATCCCTCTAATAAATTGTCATTCAGAAGTGGGTATGCAACCCGTACGGGTTACCAATGTAAATTAAGATTACCGTATTTCTATAAGCCTTATATATTCATCTAAATTTTGTAGGTGGTGTCGTCCTCAGAACTTTTGTTGGATACTTTTGCTATCCAAATTATGTAAACTTGATATCAAGTTAAGTGTTTTCAGTGTATTGGTTAGTACCACATTTCATATTGGTTTAAGATCGAAACACACTAGTTCTTTGCTGCAGTTCTGATACAGAACGATAAAGTTAATGACATAAACATCAACTGGCATCATTGTGTTCTTATTTTTAAAACAATTAGTCCCTTTGATAAATTTCTATAATGCAATGAGAAGACGAAGATTATCAGAACTATGTGATATATTAGCTAAACATATAATTGAAACAGGTCACAAGATTGATCTAAATTCAGCTTTTGTAGTGCTGTATAAAAGTGTAAAAGGGCGTATACTAAGGTTCATTGAAGCCTTAGCCATACGAAAATTCAAACCCCCTTTATGTGTTCAAAAACAGTTTGTTCTTACCTTAAACCTACCCTGGTAATATTGACTTATTATCCAGAGTGATTAGGTTTGCTTTGTGTTCACATTATTATTATTATTACTCTTATCATTATCCTTATCTCCTCTTACCCCATTTCCTGTCTAGTTGACCTTTTATTTATATATATAAATGCTCTTAACAAGTATATGTGTGACCAGATTGTTCGAAATGTATTGCGCTAATATATCACATAGTTCTGATAATCTTCGTCTTCTCATTGCATTATCGAAAGTTCTTATTTTTGTTAATTAGTAAGTGCAACAATTGAGTATTGTTTTTAAGCACATTTTAACTAGTACTTATAATTGCTAGGTAATTTCGTCTGAACTGGTGAGGCTATGGTCTATCTGTTATAGGATTCGACATCTAATTATAGTTTCCAGTCTGGCTTCAGCAACCAGGCAGTGTATCACTACCTCTTATATCAAAATTATGGCTTAAGGGGAGCTATACAGAGATATGCTTAGTGATCGAGTTGTATTAATCAGTTACCTGATAGTTTACAGCAGGTATAATTGACGTAAATAAGGTTTGTTGGTCTAAAACCCATCTCATATCTTTTCATATCAAATCCAATATCTGCTGATTTCTGATAAATCTTAAACTTTTTATAACTTTCCCTTATGAATTATTTTCATTGTAATACCCTAAAAATAGATTCAGTATTGTCAACATTTTGGTGATAATAATCAAAAATTAGAAAATATCAAGTCAGTTGCAAAGGTTAAAGATATACAGAATTTTAACATAATTTAAACAACCAACTAGCAGGTGTAAGTTTTCTATGTTATTCATTTTTTCCCTTACAGGGATTAAATCGAGATTTTTAAATGTTTAACGACGTCTTTTTGTGTAAATTTATATACATGTTGGAAAACTGTAACTATTGCAGTCATAATTTTCATTTTGCGAATCGCCGTTATTTGAAGTTTCAACCTATCCAAAGTAGCCGTTGGACATCCGAAGATTATTTTTTTAAAGTTATATCTCAACACTCAATCTAACTTGTTTGTTTCAAAACGATGGGTTTCATTCAAGCTTTAATTATTAACTGTAGCATCCTGATAATCACTGGATAAGGGGGACATAATCAAGATAACGGAAAAGTGCACAGTTGATTTATGAATTATCAAATAAATCTAAGCTACAAATTATGACTCTTTAACTGTGCATTTTTCTGCCACTGTGGCATGGGTGTCTACTATTATGAATGTCGATTCCAGACTCGATAATAGGAGTGCCTGATATATACTATAGTTATACTTACAAATACGAAATTAAGATCGTAGAGATTATCTTCCAAAGCCTGATGCATACGACAACTTAATGCAGTCAGTATTAACTATCTGGGGGATTCGTTTATCCATGCAAATTTGAACTGAAATAATTTATATGATGATCAACTACTGACACTATGGTTGTACAAGACCACCATTATTCCTTCTAGAGTACTTAGCTGAACTAATTTATTTTTTCACGCAGCACGATCATATAAAGTCCTCATGATTTGTAAAATTGCTACCTTTAACAAGTTAGTATTATCTAACCAATTGTGTTTGAAAAACACGAAGGAAAGTATCAGAAAGTATGGTCAGTTATCAGAAGTATTCACAATATGCTATGGAATCCTACAATAATAATTACACCAAACTGAGTAAACAGAGTGTTTCCTGAAAAACCCTTTGCAACTTCGCAACGTTGTCTTTCAGAAGGTTATGAATATTCCGGGTATTTTATAGTTAAAAGATTTAAAAACTTAGCACAACAAACTTCTATATATATAATTTCAACAACATCCTATATAAAAAACTGTACACAAAATTACTTTTATTTATCAGTTCTTTCATTCAAAAATATTTCGTGGTACGTAAAATGTTCTTTCTCGTTTGATGATGATATGGGCCATAAAAATTGATGAAGATATTAGTAAAATACAGTTGAGATGATACAACAGAGCATTGATTAGATGAAGTACGTAAATAAATATCAGAAATGCAATGTAGTTGCAATCAATTCTGCTATATCATCCATTATCTAAAAAACCAAAACAATGAGAAAACAGTATGAGCATTACTTAATCGTTCATTTTCTTTAAATATAAGGTTTGATAGAAACAATACGATACTTTATTCCAAGTACAACAATGTCTCGATCCGTATTGCCGTAATTGGAAAAACCACTTAGAAATAACTACGAAAAAAAGTTTTAGAACAAAATTCTGATCTATTCTATTCCATTTTGAGATAACACAGAAATCCTTACAGTGATTGATGTCATATGAATTGAAAAAGTTGGTGACTAACATGACATACTGCTCTCCTGTTTGAACTGGAAAACATTGGGATAAAGGTGAAACAAGTTGATAAGTTGTAAGTAGGGTGAAACACACATCCTGGATTCTATTACTAACCAATACTCAAGTAATAATCTACAAATGCAGACAATATTGAGATAATAGTGGGATGTAGTTATATAGAAAATCAAAGGTTGGAAACTGTTCCCAGTACCGAAAAGCGAATTTGATTGAATTGGTACATTTGTTAGGTTGATCGATTACTCTACAGAAAGATAAGGGGTGATAGTTACGAAACTTTCTTTTCAAGTTTACATTCAGTGCTACATATTAATCAAAAGGGAAGCAAGAAAGTGTTTTCATTCTAGTATGTGAAGATAGCCCTCGAATATTAGCTTATATTTTTTGGATATATATGGAAAATCAAGCATATTATTTGACTTTCGATAGAACTGAAAAGTTAAATTCGAGATGGTCAAGTTACGTTAATAAACTGAATCCCAGTAGATAAGTATTTACAACACATCTATAAAATTTTGATATAACGCAATTTATTATCATTAGATATTATGAAAATGAACTAACCTCGTCACGTAGAATTTATATGAATTCATAAAAATCTGACATTCTGTAAGAATCCATTATTTCAGCGATTTACAAAAGAGGTGGACTTATTTGGGCTTTAATTTTAGTTTACTAATAAATAAAGTGCTACAACGTCAAATGATTAGAAATAATCTAAAGCTACCGTCATCGTTCTTAGTTATTACGGTTCATGTTTGTACTTATAGACACATTTATGTATGAAATAATCACAAAAAATTGAGGAATAAAACACTTAAAACTTTCGTCGTAAGAACTATTTGACAAATGTGATCGTGTGTCATAGAGACGAAATGTGTAGAAACTAAAAAGAAAAATTTGTTTTATGCAGTATGTAATACTGTAAATATCCGGTAACTTTAAAAAAGGAAACATAATAAATTAGATAATAAACATACACTTTCTAAACTTTGACCGGATTTTTTAGCTATCTCTAAACGTTGACAATGTGGTAAAGTTAGATAACGCCAAATTAAATCACCATCTGCAACTTTACCGCATGGATTAGCTAATTCTGGTTGAGGACGATTATATGACCTAGAGAAAAGTCACATTAAAGTACAAATCATTATTGTCATACGATCACATTTATAATATACTGACATGATAGCTGTGAAATGGTTTAGTAAATTTGAAATGATATTTTAAACTGTGAGATATTACTTATTGAAGAATTAAAAAGGGGAAACTGGATTACTTATCTAAAAGTAGACATAATGTCATATATTATGCGAAATTCCTATATGTGCATATGCTACTACATGACGATGAGGGAAGAACAGACTTAGATTTATCAGTATGGAGTTGTAGGGATTGTTGAACTTCATTTATCTAAGACAACCACTGAAAAAAATGGAAGCACTAAACAACCGTTTCGTCCTGACCGCTGAATCAGGATCCAAGGGTGTACAAATTCAACTTTAATCAATTCATGATATAGAGCCAATATTTTCAATTGTCCTCGGTGGGTATCCCCTCCTTATACCCGACACGGTGAGGATCTGTTACTAGTGGAGTTCGAGGCAGAAGGGGTTTGTGGAGATTTTACAAATTTTCACAGATTTAAATCATGAGTCAGTTGAAGCTAGACCACCATTGAAAACGTGGAAGCACTGGACGGCCGTTTCGTCCTAGTATGGGACTCCTCAGCAGTGCGCATCCACGATCCTGAACCACGCGGAGCTCGAACCCAGGACCTACTGGCTTCGCGCGCGCACTTATACATTAGACCACTGAGCAGGCATCCAACGGTGTTAATGTCTAACTTCAACCAATCCACGAAGTTGCGCCACCATATACCATTGTCTTCAGTGAGCTGATATCTCACAACAGACCTGGTTGTACTCCACTGGTGACGGCTTCCCACTAGAACTCCAGGAGCATCTCTTGAAGTCAGTCACTAGTGAGCAGATGAAGTAAAGGTAATGGATGAGGGTTGTGTGATATCGTGAATTGACAAAAGTTAGATATCACTGTTGAATGCCAACTCAGTGATCCAGAGATTAGGCGTTCAAGTGCAAGATGAAGGTTATGGGTTCGAATATCGGTCGCAAGGGCTGTGGATGTGCACTGTTGAGATATAGATATATTCGAAAACCGAATATGAAAAAGTAGTAGAATCCAACTAGCTGACTGATTACTAAAATTATTACTAATGAAGCATTTTTAGTTGGTTGCATTTTTTTCTACACATTTGAGCTTATGTATGATGAACCACTATTTTGGCTGAAAAGAAGAGTACATGATAAACATTAGTGAATATTATTCCACCTTTGGTTACACAATGAGATTTTTTGAGGTAAATAAATTAATTGTATTGAGTGATAATAGTTATCAGTCAACCAAAACCTACTATGAAGTGTAGTTTTGTTACGAACAGAGAGTGAAATAAACCTCAGGATAAAAAGGTCAAGATATTTCAAGTTAAGCGGTTGATTTCAAACCATACAAATAATTGTATTCTTCGTATTTGACTTCAAGGGGAAACAAAGGTTGATGATAGTAAATATTCGGTGACGTAGTTTAGAGTAACCAGGATATGGACATGAATCTTGCTTATCCAACTACGAAGTAGTGAACATTTTGCCGTCTTGTTGGAAGTCTGGTAAAGAGCTTGTATATCTGTTCGAGATCATTACTAAATGATTAAGAAATCACAAACTTTGAACCATACTCTGATGTGAGGACTAATGGTACTATGCGGATGATTGATTCAAAATAGATGAGGTGAGGTTCATTTCTGGCACTCAATAACTGAAACCCAAACCAATCAGTAAGCAGTACACCAATATAACATCAATGAAGCTAATAACTACTAATAATTTAAAGAGAGAGCCAATTCAGTGAGACAGTCGACTACGTAATGAAGAAACCAGTCTCTTCCGGCAATAAGTCACTCTCTCCCTTTATATATATAATCAAAGGGTTAGATATAGGTAAGTACAGAATTTCGACAATAATGTGACTATCTAATCAGAAAAGTAAGAGATACTGATTTTTCAGACTAATAATACATACCTGAAATGATATTTTGAGGAAATTAATCAAATTTTTTACAAGTCCTACTTATACAAAATAGAAACCAATACACAATGAATTATAAAAAAGACTCACCAACATGATTTAGGTGGCATACCACAAATAGGTCCAAGATGATGAATTAAATTTTTCTCAGTTATACGAAGGCGACTATACATTTTATCACGTATAGGACCGATTCGGTAAATAGAACCATTCTGACTGCCTAAAATATTGTATTTAAAACAAAATGCAAAACCAAGCTTTTAACATCAAGGAATGAAACTACATACAAATAAGAACGAACAGCTCATACTCTGAATTGTTCTAAAAAGACGAAGAATATCAAGAGGACTGTAAACGTTTGTAATTATTTAGTGAAGAATTATTGTTTATGTTCTTATAGTGTAATTATATGACATTTGGATCATTGTATCCTTATATTTTCCTAACTGTAATCTTTCGTTTGACACATAAAATACCGTTAATTCTTGAAGATATAACATATTTCACAATAATCACTACGTGCATAAGATAATAATATTGGTGAGATATGAAATTACCCAAATGTTAACATGACAAACCATATTGTTTCGTTCTTTTTGAATGCTGAACATCATTTCATTTTTGTGTATTGGACATTTAACAAATCTCAGGGGTTCGTTCACTGTCTTTTTCGACAATACTATCAACACACATCTTAAGAAGAAATGGGTTATTTGGATTTATTCACAGCTCACTAACTTCTTGTTCTGTTGACCTCGAGTTTGGCTGATTTATTGTTCATTAGTGTGTGGCAACTGTTGACATGTTTGTTTTTGGCTGTTTTCAACTATAACCTGATCTTTGACATTGTGGCTGTGTTTACTTTTTTCTTTATCACAAGCTATGAATATTCTCCACCATCTGAAATTCATATGAGTGTAACCGATCTTATTTCTTTGCTCGTTCAATAAGTAATCAGTTTATTTACGAATGTTCTGAAAATATATGTTAATATTCTTCAATAAGATAATATGTATAATAGATAAATATCCCCAAAAATAGTAACAATAATAGTGACAATCACAGACAGTTTATAGCATTAAAAAAATAAGGATAATCCAAAAAAAATACAAAAACGCATTAAACTAACCAAAATATATAGATTGTCTAAATTTCTCTGGATCAACACCAGAGTTAGGATTGGTAGTCCCTTGTTGTGCAGCTGTAGATTGTTGTTGTGATTGTTTTAAGTTATTCGTTTGACTAACAGAATCAACAAGACTTATATTATCTAAAATGGTATTAGTAGGATTCTGGTTAATCGCTGAAGTTCCTGCTGTCAATGCGGACGCTGTAGTTGTTGACGAAGGTTTAACTGAGAGTAAAGCATGTCTAAGTCGATTGGCCACACGAAGTGAACAGGTTGCACGAGACGGTAAACGCATATCTGCACAACGAACAAGCCGTCTTCCAGAACGACTTGAAGGATCTAATGGATCATAACTATAGATGGTAACATTGCCCAATTCATCAGACACTGAAATCAATTTGAGATAGGAGAAAAACAACACATATTTACATGAAATCTATTATGTGAAACCTCAGCACATTTTCTAAGGTTTAGACTATTAATAGTTTACTACCTTGACAGAAATAACTCAAAGTCAGTGAGAAGATTTAAAAGATATTGAGGGTTTCTCAACAGTTGATTAAAAAGACCAGTTTTATGAAAGCGAAAATAGTACTGCTATTATTTAAAGAAATGGAATTATCATACATTAGATGTAATGAAAAACAGCAAAATCACGAGCACTTAATTTGTTAAGCTACACATTAAAACTGGATAAGAATAAAATATGTCAGTGGTTACATGATACGTGAAAGCAAGCTAATTTAAGCGACATTAAAGGTTATTAGCTAAAAAATATGTTTGATGAATACAAATGGAATATCTAAAATAAGCGAATGTAAATTTAAATAATAAAACTATGTTACAGAGATACATCTAGATGTATGGATTGAACCATTTTATCACATTGTGAATTTCATATTCATCCACAGCCATACATACCATACATACGCACATCATATATACAATAATCTGCAATAGAAACGACATATTTAAGCCTGTTTATTACTATATTTAAAACAATTGGTCCCTTTGACAAAATTCGATAATGCAATGAGAAAACGAAGGTTATCAGAATTATGTGATATATTTGCGCAATACATTTCGAACAATCTGACCACATATATACTTGTTAAGAATATTTACATATGAAAATTAAAAGATCAACTAGACAGGTTAAGGGTGAGTCATAACAAAGGAAAAAATATTGAAGTACCAATCAGTATTACCAGGGTAGGTTAAGTGTAAGGACAAATTGTTTTTGAACACATAAAGGGGGTTTCAATTTCCGTATAGCCAAGGCTTCAAAAGACCTTAGTATACATCCTTGAAGGCTTTTTATAACACTACAAATGCTGATTTGATGTCAACCTTATAACCCGTTTGAATCAAATGTTTCACAATGGAGGATGATGTCTGTCTATCCTGTGATCTTGTTTGGCCATTGGAATCCATTTGTTTCTGGAACCATTTTGGTATGTGTTCATCCACCTTTAATTGAAAATCACGACTGCTCCTCCCTATGTACGTGTTTCCATTATTATTTATTTATTTCAACACATAGATATTGGTACAAAGAGGCACCAAATACATATGCGCCACACAAATCTCATTCGATATGTGTGAGGGCTTTGATACTTCCCGGGTGCCCAAACCGAAACAGGTGGTTTTCTTAGGGGGCCATACCCGGAGCCTTCGACCTGAGGGTCTGATCCACAAGGCAGTGGAGCATCGTAAGGAGATGCAGTCCCATGGAAGCCGGTGACCAACAATTGGTTCATACGCCATTTGTTCCCGCAAGATACTGGAGTCCATGTGCACCATTGATTTGGAATCCGGTTAAAGCGCCGGACATTCGCTTTTCGTCCTCTCATTTTCGTAAACAACACCCCCGCCACGAGAAGGCAGTGAGTAGGACTTCCCTGGCAGAGGCTATATACGCGTGACCATGTTAGAGCAATTCGAGAAAGAGAGCGGACTCTCCCCACTCTCGGCCGTACCAGGGCATGTAAATTGATAGACACAATCGCTTTCGTGCTGTTTGGGCTTTTGGTGAAACATAAACCTTGTCTTTTCGATAATGACAAATTGGGCTGCATAAAGTGTCCGGTTGATAGCTAATTTAGGTCCCCGTTTCAGCATGAGACTATTTGTGTCGCCTCTGAATAGTAACGTAATATAAACTCGATTTTTGGGTGCCAAAAGCGTAATAGGTCTAGTCGTATTGTAACCCTTCCAGCAGTTTATGAACTTCAAAGAATAACCATTATTCATTAACGTATCAGTCAAGAACTTCGTTTCCACTTTATTAGTATCACTAGTACAAATACGACTGATTCTATTGAATAAACTCTTTATTAAACCGCGTTTGTAATGAATAGGGCAGTGACTATGAAAATTAAGATATTGCCCTATCCATGTTGGCTTTCTATATATAGAACGTTGGACGGAACCATCATCTCTCCTACCAATCAGGATGTCTAGAAAAGTCGATTGTGCTTCTCTTTTTCACATGTAAGAGAAATGTGCTTTTGACTTCTATTGAATTCTTTTAACAAGCGGTTTATGTCTTCACCTTTATTCCCTATGATTATTATATCATCAATATATCGTTTATACAGACCCATCTTTCGAATTGAGTCTACAACTAAATTTTTAACATGTCTCATGAACACATCAGCCAGCAATGGTCCTAGAAGGATACCCATAGCTACACCATTTATTTGTCGGAAGTGCTCACCTTCAAAAGTGAATTTTACATTATCTATACACTATAATAATAAGTCTCTAAGGGTGTTAACAGGAAATGGCAGTGGAAGGTTATTCAAAGAAATATAGTCACACAAAATATCAATAGTTTTCCTGAGAGGTACATTTGTAAATAAAGTATTCACATCGAAGGAGCACTTTGTCTTTATATTTATGTCCTTTAAGTATTTGATTAATTCAAATGAGTTCATGTGCATGAACGACACAGTCCAATAATTTCTTAAAATCTCGTCCAGTCAGTATATATATACTTCAAATTAAGTGGCATTTCAACTAAATTATGGCTTGTACTTCAGTACAGAGTTTTACCATAGACGAACAAGGTTGGAATATTTCTTATTTAAAAAGACATTTGTCATATAACGGGGGTAACGAATATTTAAGAATATATTGGAACTTTATTCTTTCTGATGTTATAAGAGCTGAAAACAGGTTCTCATGAGTTAATTAGTCAATCACAACTAAAGTAGAGTCTGACACAGACATACATTGATCCAACTTGCTATGGTAACCCGTTACAACAAAAATAATTGTAATAACCATCATAATGAGAAGGACTAAACACCGAGAATATAGTCCGAGAAGAGGGAAAGGAAATATATGAATGGAGGAATACTGGAACTTGAAATCTAGATGAAGACAAAGAGTGAACGGTTTTCAACCACTGATAAAGGTTAAGAAGCGAACGATTATGAGATAGTCTGCAACTACAAATATTGGCTCAGATCAACCGTCAATGACTTCATGGACTGATGGCACAACTTAGTTTGACTGCCTCTAACTTTATTCTAACTTACTTGTATATCTAGTTCATTGTGATCGTTCACGTAACACGTCAGGAAAATCAATTTTAACTCAAATATTCAATTGCTCAAAACTTATTTTAGTAATAGACTAGTTCACCTGATACGAATCCCTGCTTGTATGTGCTTAAATAAGCCTCACATAAGGTTACCAAAAACAAACAAAAAGACAAACAGTAAAACCACAACAACAATAACTAACCCATGAATCCTAAACGTCGACCATCTACAAAAAAGTTGGATGTATACACTTCTCTAGAGATATTATCTCGACTGACAACAGAGAGAACACGTAAATCTGATTGAAATCTTAACAACTGAACAGATTTTAATACATCAGCTGCTAAAACTAAATTTTTCACACATAATAAATTATGGATGTATAATTCCGAGTCAACAAATGCTACACCCACAAGATCAGTATTCTTCAATGTCCAAATATAGATCTAAGAGAGAAAAGAACAAAATAAATTATGTAAAACACAAGTTTAGGATAGTGATACTATATTCAATAAAATAAAAAATGCGTCGTTCTATTGAATAAAGCTATCTTAATATAATGAGTTCATTACATAAATGGAATGGTAACATCAGTTATTTTTTTTAAAAAGATAGAAAGAATAAGTAATCATACATTAATTTGAAGAAAGTAGATAATGCATGGTATGTACAACTATGACAGAAATATCGAACTGGTAAAGTAATAAGAAAGTTTTGTTTTACTATGAGCAAAAGCAAACTAACATGGAGTGGAGGCATCCACAGGAATATATATATATATATCCTGGACAAGAATCAAGAAAGGAAGAACAAGAAGATAGCTAGTAACAACAGCCGAACAAGAGCAGAGAAATTCAAGTCACAAACCGAATACACTGGAGTAAACATGCAAGTGAAGAGGAGCATTAGAGCCGATAAGTGGGAACATGTAGAAGACCTGGCAATGACAGTGGAAAAAGCTGCAACACAGCAAATACGAGACAACTATGTGATATAACGAAGAAACTAGCAGGGAAATACAGTAAACCAGAGAGACCAGTCACGGACAAAGAAGTCAAGCCAATCATTGAGATTCGAAAAAAACCCATGGAAACAGGTGGGTAGAACACTTTGAAGAACTCTTGAATAGGCCAGCCCCACTGAACCCACCGGACATCGGAACAGTACACACAGAAATTCCTATAGTTTTCACTCCCCCAACGATCGGAGGAATCAGCATGGTCATCACACGAATCAGGAGTGGAGAATTGGACGGACCAGACATTATACTAGCTGAGGCACTGAAGTCAAACGTAGGGGTAACTGCAAAGATGCTCCACGTTCTATTCGGGAAGCTTTCGAAGGAAGAACAGGTCTCGATAGACTGGGAAGAAGGATATCTCATCAAGATACCAAAGAAAAGATATCTGAGTAAATGTGAGAACTACAGAAGCATCACACTACTATCGGTACTGGGAAAGGTTTCCAACAGGGTGTTGCTGAACCGGATGAAAGATTCAGTAGACGCCCTACATTGAGACACTATGGATCATTGTTGAACGGTCGGTTGAATGGAATTCATCACTATACACCAACTTCCTTAACTTTGAGAAAGCGTTCGACAGTGTGGACGATAGAACCTTATGGAACCTTCTTCGACACTATGTAGTGAGTAGTTGAGAAGATCATCAACATCATATGGAATTCACACAACGAACTAGACTGCAAAGCCGTCCATAGAGAACAGCTGACAGATGCATTCCAAGTGAGGACGGTTGTCAGACAAGGCTGCTTACTCTCCTCCTTTCTATTTCTTCTTGTAGTCGACTGCATTAGAAAGACGTCCGCTTCTCATGGGGAGCAGAGTACAACAGACAGCCCGGATGCAATTAGACGATATGGACGTGACAGATGACCTAGCTCTTCTATCCCATACACAACAACAAATCCAGGTGAAGACGGCAAGTGTAGCAACAACCTCTATAGCAGTAGACCTCAACATACAAAAGCAGAAATGCGAGAATCTGAAATACAGTGCAATGTGCAACAACAGAATCACACTTGATGGTGAAGCTCTGGAAGAGGCAGAAACTTTTACGTGCCTGGACAGCACATTGGTAAACAAACAGTTTCTGGTGTAGATGTGAAGACATGGATTAACAAAACAAGGGAAGCATTACTATATTTGAAGAACATATGGAACTAAAAAAACAACTGCCAGCCGACATCAAAGCCAGAATTCATAATATGAACGTGAAAACAGTTGTATTTTACAGTCCTATTGTACTTGGAGAACTACTACTACAACCATTATCAAAAAAGTACAAGAATTTACAAATAATAGTCTACACAAGATATTCCGTTGGTCGGATACCATCAACAACAACCTACTATGTCAGAATACAAGCCAGTTTCCAGTTGAAGAGGAAACTACGGAAGGACTTTGAATGTGGATAGGATATAGAATGCGGGAATCATCAGACTGCATCACTAGGCAAGTGTCAATCTAGATTACTGAAGGGTGTGCAACGAAAAATTACGTAAAAATTAAATATTGCACTTAATTGTAAAGTGAAGGAGATATTTATAAGATTTAAATTCTAAGATGAAAGAATGTAGCCTAGGTGTGATTTGTTTTGAAAATAAATAAAAAACTAGAACAAAAAGAGTAATCTGTAAATAAAATTATTTAAGAGTCCTAAACATCATCATGTGACATCTATATACAGAATATACTGTTTTATTAAGTAATGTTTATGAATTGATTAGTGTGAACAAAATCAAACTACCACACTGAATCATACGATATACTCTATAAACATGTTTTGACATAAAGAGCAGTGGTATACAATTATATATGAGTGAATGAAAGAAACAATTAAGAATATCTGAGACTATTTAATAAAGATTTGATTCTATTATTTTTAGTTAACTCTTGTATTTACGTTGTTGTCACGTAATTTAACACGAGCGAATTGCATTGGATAACTTTTCATTGACTGTGATCACATGTATTTTTGGCTAAAATGTGACTTGAAAATCGTACTGGTTGGACGAATATCCAATAAAATTTAAAGCTTTATTATTAATTCAGTACTCATTAAAAAATATTCTATTAGTTAGAGATCTTATTTATCAACTGACATAGACTACTGTCAAAAGAATCTGGAAAGAGGTCACTAATCAATCGCTAAAATGGTTTATGAAGGTTATCCATTTGGTTAGTGATCGAAAAGGGTTTTTTCTGAACTGTACAGGATACAATATCACTCACAAGTGGTATGATTCAAATAACAGAAAAATGGAAGCATCGGAGAATAAACTAGTCATCTAGATCTAATTATAGTAAAATCTTTATGATTTATTTGAAAAGAATTAAATAAAGGTTGTGTTATTTGAGGAAACTGGAAATACTTATCATCAAAATTGATATTAAAGAGATCAACAATCGTATAGATGAATTATAACGAGATCAGAAAACCATATGCGAAAATTTCACGAAATCTTTGGTCTTGATTTATCTTAATCATAAGAATTACTTTAAGGAGTGACCAGTTTAAGAAGCAAAAAATTGGTTACTGATTACAACAACATTTTCACAATTACCTTTTGCCCAATTGCACTGATTAAATGACCCTGACAGCTAGTTAAAGCTGTCACTGGACCCTTTTGCTCACCATCATGTATAATTTTCAATTTATGTCGTGTAAGTGGTTGACCAGGTTCTGGTACTACATCAATCACGTCTAAAATAAGAATTCGACCACGTACAGGTATTTCTTCACCATATGATAAATTTGCACCTAAAGCCAAATAATCTTTTGTACCATGAAACGTTTCTTCAGATGCTAATTGTGCTGTAATCAAACATGTGACAACTTCCCACGGTTCAAATTCAATGCTAAAATAATTGAAGTAAATAATAATACAGAGTAGTTGAGATAGAATAATAACAGATTATAAATCAGTACTTTGGATAAGTTAATTAAATCGTATAAAATTTCGGAGTGTAAATCCTAAAAAATATTCAAGATGAAAAGACTATACTGGATCTTCTACATTTTTCTAAAGGATAAGATGAAAACTATTTTGAAATGAAAGTCAAAATAATTGTAGTGAATAACTATTTCAATTGTTGTACACCTTAAGTAGATCATTACTATTTATTTCAATTTTCCATTATTCCACAATAAAATATTATACTGCTGATTCCAAATCCAAACTTCTTTATTTTTCATTTGGGTGTTAATACATTATTGCTTATTCGAAAGATTGCTTAATTACTACAGCAATACAGTTCAGATTTGAATTTAGAAATGTAGATTGTGTTAATGAATATTCAACCTGTGTAAGGATACTTAATTAGCATGCAAGCAAATTATACAAATAGGAAAATATACAGATCAAAGGAATTATTAGATAACAATAACAGAACTATAGAATTTAACGTTATTAACTTTAGAAGTGGGGAATTCCTAACACAAAAACATGAGAAAAATCAACAAACACTAACATCGGTTAACGAAGTTTACCTCGTACAGAATCATTTGTCATAAACAAACACATCATTATGACAAGAAATGAACAGTATAAAAAGCAAAGAGTTGAAATGATATTGAAATTGCAAAATATGGTGTAAACCAAATCTTAGTCTGGATTTCATAATTCTTCTTTATAAATAGAAACGGATAGTAAAGCTAAAGAAAATTTTTAATAAACAATAATACTAAAACTATTAACTTACAGCGTATTGGGAATTAATAGCCATGGGGATTGTTTATTACGATGATTAGCATTTAAATTTGGTGCATACATTTGTAAAGAGTAATAGTCTAAGGTTGGTAGAACACATGTTTTAGGACGAACTAAAACATCTTCTTCTTTATTACCTTCAGCATTTAATCGAAATACAGATTTACACGGTTCTGAATGAATACCGACAACAGCATATGTCTATGATATAAACAAATGTATATAGAAAATCATTGTTATTCTGGTATGATCTACGTACATTGTATTGGGATATACATAACTTTCAAATAAGATTACAATAGTACATTTATATTGTAACATATTAAGATATATTCTCTGAATGACTAAAAAAACGCCAGTACTATAGCCTTGAGTTACACTATTTGTGAATAAGTGATATTACCCGGCTGCCTAAAAACAAACAGTTGGAGTTGTATTTTGAACACATACAACTCAAGTAATACACATTCATCACCAAGTCATTGTCATTTTTTTAAAGTTCTATATTCGATAGGTTCTGATTGCATTGAGCAAATCACTAAAAAATATCATATTTCACTTCATTATTACACATTTAAGGTAATATGAAACTACGAGTATTATGTATACAAGGAGTATTATAATTATCTTAAGTAAACAGTTGATTAAAATTTAAAGTAAAACAATATTGTTACAAATGAGACCATTTATTCGGAAATTATTGTATACATTCAATTACAATGATAGTTTAGACTAAACAACTTGAAAAATCTTATCATTATATAAATATCTTAAACTTATTTATTATTCACATTATACAATTCTCAAACTAGAATATGCAACATTGAAACCAATTCCCTTGTAGTATACATATAATTCATAGATCTTGGGAAATAATTTGTGTTTGTATCATTTCACTGATAATAAGGACAGGAATTGATTAGTTTCTTTCAGACACATGTACAACCTGAGAGGATTGAATCGAAATTACTATATAACAACAAGTATACAGGAAAGTTGGATAGTGGCTAGCTGTGGAATCCAGAACGCATGTTCTGTTCAGTTTGGGACTATCTGGCTAGATGTACCTGTATCGCAGCGTTGATACTTAGCCAGGACTCAAACCTAGTACATTTCACTTTAAATGGCCAATGCGTTATTTACCAGGCTACTGAGCCGAGATAACCACTGGCTTGTGAGACGGGGTAAGAATAATATTTAAAATGTATCTCCATAATGATTAGCTGTCAGTTATTTCCATTCACATACATTTTTGACCAGTTTTACGGCTGTGAGACTATTTTACTCGATTTATGGAATTAAAAACAACCATTTCTTATCTTTTTAAAAGGTAGACAAGGACGAAGATAATACCAATTACTGTAATGCTTATGGTTGTATTTTTCAGTATCTAGGTTCACAATAGGTTGGGGACGTATTATAAGACCATATAAGTACACTATGCAGTCAATATAGTTGATTGATTAAAAAAATATGAATATTTATTGCATTATTTGCACAAATGATGGGACAGGTTTGAGAGCGCCACAGAATTAGTGAGACAATGAGCAAAACGGATGAAACACAACTGGTATTGATAAACATATTAAAAAAAAATCTAAACAAAAACCTCGACGTGAATGTTGACTCGTGACTAAGAGTGGATAAAGTTCATTGCTATTTTCATAAAATCTGTAGTTTGTGTCATGTGGTAGGAAGTGTCTTTTTATATCAGTGAACAAATTCCTAACCTTATTAGATTGTTTGACATATGAAAAACGTTAAAGTCAACGACTAGAAGTGACTATTTCAACCAATCACCTTCTTGAATATAGGCGTCAAGGAAGTGGTTATAGAAATTCAAAATTGACAGATGGATTGAGACGATAACTTACTGTAGACTTAAAAATTGTTATCATTATCTAAAATGTAGACAAGTTTTTATTTCCAAAAAATAAAACACTATTGTGTTATAATCATTTAATACAAAGAAAATTCAAAAATACTAATTTAGTCAAACTACGTTGACAGTAGCAATAAATATAATTCTTCAACGTATCAAGGGCGATATAAAACCGAAGATTAGAAAACACAGGAATAAAGAGTATAGATGTACGATAGCAATAACTAAAATGATAAAGTTCGTAAAAATCATACAACCTATCAGTTTAAACCAATTTGCCGAATTCGATTTGAACGGCCGCGAGATGTCACTAGTCCTCACACAAATAACTTAAATCTAAGAATGTAAACAAGTAGTTTGTAGTTAAAGCATTTGGCTTTCAACCAATTAGTACGTTTAAACATCAGTCTAGTTGACATAACCGGATGAGAATGTGAAATCACATTTTTAACTCATTGTGATTCATATCCAACATCCAGTTCTAATTCTATACGACGATTATTCAGAAAAGAATTTGTTTTTGTTTTTCACTGTGATATTTCATTCAGTTTAAGTAATTTATTTGAATGCGATGTCATTAATTTAACAGGAACTATGCACAGCATGACATGCAGCATGTGACTTTGTTATAACTATATTTTTATGTGTGTTACTTTATTTTAATTAATAATCAAAATGAGTGTCCGATCAATATATGTTGAGTGCGTTTTTAACTGAAGTTGACGTGTTTTAGGTTTCATAAATCTAAGTATTGACGGGCTTACGTCATGTCATGGGAATGACAGTGGTTTCTTGTTCCTTCAAGTATGAGATAAGAGATGCGGATACAAAAATTTGGCGACGGAGATGAAATGAATGTATATGCTTCAGGACCGATGGATGAAAATGTTTATGAATGACAACTCGGTCACCAAACAGTACGCAGTTATCAAGGATTGACAGGAAGTATTTTCTTTTGTGGAACAGTTTCATGTCTTCTGACTGAAGATTTGTGGGCCAGCGACAATGCAGGTAGTGTATTATTTTACAAATTACTGGATAGTTTTTGCTAGACTTTGCAACCCGACCGAAGCTGCTACCTTGACGCGGTGGTCGGGCTTGCCTATGATGATAACCCAACCGAGCTATATTGGCTGGAACATATGTTCCTGTAGGTTCTACCATGCCAGGCAGGTCGATTGGTGAACGGTAAGACTAAAAGCAGCAACTCAAGGTCTGAGGGCGAAGTCGTACTGCTGACTGTAGAGAGGTGTGACAGCAGTAAGGTGTTTCTCTCAGACAACCAGCATGACAGCGATGCTGCCTTCCCACAAGGAGGGGTGGGGTTAGAAAAGGTCGACCCTAAAAATGTCACACCTCACCTTACCTCACGGATTTCCGTCTCCGGCGGTAAGGCCCTTTGAAGAACGGAGCTAACACGTCAAAAACCTACCACAAAAAGGCCGTGCGCGACCGGCCTCAAGCAGTTGTCCCTTGGGCTCTGCGGTCACGCCCCCAGGTCGTCAAGACCAACACTAATCCAATTTCATTTTCAGGTTCCTCAAGAAATACCCTTCCACGGTGTGGGCAGCCGGGAAGTGACATCAGCCCTCATACCCGTAACATCACACGAGACCAAGTCGGTCACATTCAAATCCTTCCTACACCTCCTAATACCTCTCTTATCTCCCCGACTAACCCTTTTCACGTCCTTTTTTCACCTCGCACCGCTAGGGCAAACGATTCGAGTACGCGGAACGCTATTACTGGTCTCCTGAAACCACGCTCTAAACTACATATAGGAGCTTTTAACGTCCGAACACTGTGCCAAATAGGACAGCAGGCTTCCTTAGCTAGGACTTTAGAATCCTGCGCCATCGATGTGTGCTGCGTCTCCGAAACGCGCATACAAGATCCGAGTAGCGTCATTCATTTGACTTCACCATGCCAAAATAAAGAACCGACTTGATTCACACTTCGTGTATCTGGAAGCCCTGATTCTGCTTCCCGTGGTCTCGCCGGCGTAGGTATAGCATTGAGTCCCAGAGCAGAACTAGCTCTCTGAGAGTGGATCCCAGTAGGCAGCCGTTTGTGCGCTGTCCGACTGAACGGAACAGTAAAAATCCGTAAAGATAGGGACACCCATCGTTGCTTCTTCGTCGTTTCTGCCTATTCTCCCACTGACTGCAGCTCAGATGATGTAAAAGATGAATTTTACAGAAAGCTCTCCGACCTTCTCCGAAAAGCTAGGCGCTCTGATGTAGTAATAGTTGCTGGTGACTTTAATGCTCAAGTAGGTAAACTAAGCGATCGGGAAAGACACCCAGGTGGATCTTATGGTGTCGTGGCTCAAAGAACAGATATTGGTGACCGTCTGTTGCAGCTATGCTCAAATAATCGCCTGTTCCTTGCAAATACTAACTTTAAGCATAAGGAAAAACATCTTTTAACATGGAGACCCCCTAATCCGTCCCAACGTTGGACCCAAATAGATCACATCGCTATCAGCCACCGATGGAGGGGCTCGATAGAAGACTGTCGCTCATCCTGGAGCACATGCTTAGATTCAGATCATGCTCTAGTACGAGCGCGTATCTATCTGCGTCTTACTGGACGTAAGACGCTGCAAGAAAACCTCTTAGGGGCCACAAATCGCTACAAGTGGTTTATGATCTGTAACCAGTGAAACGTACACCATGTGGCGTTTTGTGAAACTTCTTGACTGAGAAAACCAGAGCATATCTTTTCTCAGTTTGACCATAATTACGTTCTACTGGAGTTAGTGTTAGTGAAGCGTGACAAATAACCTTTTCTGTACCATTGGGAAAAACATGTGAAATAATCGCCCTAATGCCATAATTTGAGTCATCAGTCGCTACCACAATATTTAATTTAGGGTTGTAGTGGACTTAAAGTAAACCAGATGGCAATATTTCTTTTACTCTGTTAAACGATTTCTGGCATTCCTTTGACCATCGCCATTACGCACTATCCAACAAGGGTTGATTCAGTAGGTGTCTCAATTGATGTGTAGATGGGACAAAAACGCAGCAAAAACTGATCATACCAAAGAATGATCATAACTTGCCAACATTTCTTGGTACTGACATTGGTCTAGTTGCATTGATATTATCAGGATCGGTTCTATCACCGTCTTTGTCGATCATGAACCCTAGATACTTGATGGTTTGTATATAGAAATTGCACTTATCTGCACGTAATTGGAAGACATTTTAAAAATTCCGACAGGACACCACCAAGTCTACAGAACAGTTCCTCTTCAGCAGCTCCAGTAACAATGATGTCATCCAATTAGGCAACATGTACTAGTATTTCACATGTCACAATAACCATAATTTGTTGGAATATAGCTGGACTTATCTTCACATTGAAGAACAATAGCTGGTACTGACACAAACTTTTGGGAGTATTGACGGTCAATAACTATTTCGAAGACTCAGCCATTTCAACTTGAAGGCATGCATCCGCCAAGTCCATTTTTGCAAAATGCTTCCACCATTAAGTTTTGTGAAGATATCTTCTGGTACAGGCAGTGGATATGAATAACCTCCCAATGCATTGTTCAAACCTGTTGAGAAATCAGCACACAAACATAAGGATCCATTGGCCTTTTAAAAAACGGCTATTGGAGCTGACCAGGGTGAATATTTCACAGATTATCTACCACAGGTAGAGAGGGATATGGAACTGGACGTTTCGGTTTGAAACAGGTTGAACGTTCGGCCGCAGACGTAAAACTTCTTTCTCCATCGTACAATATCCTAGGATTTCACTGAATACTGAACTATATTTCGACTTAAGATGATTGGTAAGATAATTCACTACTGTAAGAGTGGATGTCTGAGTTGAGAGATAAATCTAAGAACAAATGAGAATTGGTGGTATATCCCATAATGACAGCTGCTCCATCTGATCAATCTAAATCATGACTATTTGCTAGGTAACATTTACCCCTCAAAAATTTTGAGATTTGGATGAGAATCACATTCAATTTCACTGACTAGTTTTATCAGATCACCGGACGCATTTCTGGCTCTAGAGATGGGTGGGGACCCAAGTGTACGCCCAGTATTGCGATAAATCAGAGTAATATTTGACCCAGTGTCAATCTGAAGTCTGACAGACATGCTGTATATCAAGATCTCACTATATTTCCTTTTTCCAGACAGATGAACACTTGACATTTTAAAAGCGGTATGAACGTTCTTACGTGGGAATGATTTGGATCTCTTTACACAGGAAAGTGAAGTACTGACTCCGGAAAAACCCGTCTATGTGACCAAAACGCTGATATTGCATTTATGGGGTGTGGCGCCCTAAGAAAACCACCTGCTTCAGTCTGGGCACCCGGGTAGTATCACAGCCCACACACACAAATATGGTGTGGCGCATATATATTTGGTGCCCTCTTGTACCAATATTTATGTGTTGAAAAAAAATTTTGTATGAGCATCTTTTGTCAGAATACTAACCACCAGAAAACCAACAAGCTCCTTTCAACCTTTGTAAGTGACTAGTCGTACTGTGAAATTTCCATTGATGCTATGATTTCAGGGTAAATACATTTATTGTATATGTAACTCTTTTGTTTCCAATTAGTTTCATGTGAGAATTACAAAGATTCCTCGTTCTTTCAAGTATAAGAATAAGCGAGGCGCATACAACAACATTAGTATCACTAAAACTTATGCAATAAAGTACGTTTTAAAGTGGATCACTTTTAAAGTTACCAATGGAATATCTTGTCAGTGAATAACCTTAAGACTTGTAATGTTGAAAAATGGTATATTATATGTTAGTCTGATAAGAAAAACTGAGAACTACTATTTGTGATTACATGTATAATTAAATGAATTAGAAATGGTCAGTCAATGGCAATTGGACTAGAGAGAGAAAGAGAGAAAAAAACAAACGGTTTATGTTACCAACATACACAAATAATCACGTGAAGTAAACAAACACTATGCTAATGAGACTTAGTTTTTTGAATGAATAAAAATTTAAATGAAGATGATAATTATATTTAAACATGTATTGCACTCACCTTACTTTCTACATGGTATTGTACATAGTAAGGCACTGGATCAAGAGTAATCCATTTTATTCCTAAATGTTCATTAAACGAATAGCCTGGAGGTAGGGTAGCTAGACGCATTTCATTCTATAATTGAATAGACAAATGCATGAAAAACACGAATCAAACGATAAATAATTTTAAGAAGACGTATAAATTTAACGTAAAATTTATAGTTTTTTCCAACATAAGTTTCAATCATTACGTCTACTGAGGTATACGTCTCATCCTAGAAATCTACATATGTAAATTCGTTGATGAGGACAAAGAATCATATCGACTGAGTGTGACAGTTTCTGCTCATGGTGTTGTTTGGTTATACAAACCTTGGTACATGAAGCAGGATTTAAATCGATGACTAAATTTTTGAAAGGAAAGTGTTGTCGTCGATAAGTCAGAGTTTTACAAATTAGGAAGTACAATACAACTGTTTTTCCCAGTCTAAGATATTTAGCTAAAAAACATATCAAGTCGGGAGCGTAAAGGGGTATTTATTATTGGTTCTAGAGAAAGAATGCACCATGACGTCTTAATAGAAGTCACTTTAGTCCCAATGGTTATAATAAAAGACATTGAACAATAGTACCTTGCCATTTGGCAGCCAACACATTAAGAGTAATACTGGATTAGTTTAAAAAAAAAAACATACTGAACTTATTATATGTGAAAATTATATTTGAAATATTCTCAGCGATTGAAATTTAACTAATTTTCACATATAATGACTTCTCTATACTCGGCGCTCAATTACTGTCAAACTATTCGTTCTAATCTTGACGAATATTCGTATAAATAATGAACTTATATTTATGAGGAAAACGTATGAAAACAAGTGTATGGAAATGAAGTTTTGGACAAAGAGAAACGATTGCCTAATGTTTCCGATTTAAAATTTATAATGCGACTGGAAATCAAAAGTAATGCTTACACATGCAGGTAATGAGCCGCACACAAATTTCAAACATGTTGGGCGTGAGACATATTATAGATAGTAACGTGTGAAAGTCGAATAAAATCGTAAATCGACTGAATGTACAAATGTGAGCTATTTGATGTCAACTCAAAGGTCATAATGATAAACACTTACTGTGAGGCCCGACATTCTTGAGTTCAATCCTTGAAGGGGTGATAGATATATACCAGTGAGGATACCTATACTAGAACAAAATAACCAATCGGTAATGCCTAATTTGAACGATTGTCTAGCTAAAGTCAGTCTGTGATGTAGTTCTTATATTTCTTGGGGACAAATTGCTAATGACGTGGTGTGCTACTTTTGAAAAACATCGTTTTAAATTTCCCTACTTCAGGAATAAACTATAGTGCATAGCCGTTGTGATCACTATATTTGACAGTTCAATTTACCATCCGACAAAAATGTTTCATTCTATTTTTAGTCAATCTTCAACGTTAGTAGAAAAAAAACAGGGTCAATAAACATTAAGTAACAAGCGTAGAAACCAACTTACAGAGAATGTGAAATAGACAAATCCTGAATGACAAATTTCTGCATTCAATGGTGCGAAACTACCCATTATTCCATCGATTGAATGTGGAAATACACGAAGTTGTCCCGATTCTGTAGCAAATAACCAAATAGGATTTCCTCCACATACAAATACACCACGATGGTCTCCAATATTTTCGAAACTTCTCAGCATATGTGTTCTGGTTAATAATGTGGACTGTGAAAATGAAATAATAATTTAACAAACGTAAATAACACATTTACTAGCATATATTACTACGGTTATTTTTAATCAAATGTGAAAAATAACTCAATCAACAACTTTTTAATTTAATTGTTTTTATTTTGTGATTAGAAATATGATAAAGTAACGAAACGAAAAGCCAATTAATTAAGCGAACAAGCAGAAAATTTCTTGAAAGATTCTCGCATACTGTATGCACAGATTGTCTAATAAAATCATGGATTCTGCGAGTTTTTTTCCAACCCTTTCAAAACCATCGCTGCATCACACAAACAAAGAATGGAAGAAGACACTGGGGAACACGGTTTAGATTAATGCATTACATCAACACAAAGGAAACAAAAATCACTCTAGTTACATTGATTAATTCTAAGATGACTCATTTGTTTTTATTACTATACTAACTAGTCAATAAGTTGTGTTGAATAGGCTAAGGACATACGCTATTTTACATGATTCACTGAACGCATACAGTAACATACAAGCTCATTTAGTTATTTTGGTGCCAACTCTATCTAAGCATTTATTTCTAAAGAAAATCATTCTGTTGTTATTGCATTATATGAATTGCATAATGTAATATTGAAGCTTATATAAATATTTTGGGACCTTATTAATTTAAAAGCTTAGGGGTCGAGCCATTTAGTCAAGACAATGTGTAACTGACTAAAAACATACGTTCAAGCTAAAATGTTTCTTAACCCTTTCCACACCAATTCTATTGACATAGTACGGGGCAAAAAATGGGATATATACCTGAACATCCATAATTTTCGGATCAGTTCGGACACGACGTGGTGCAACAAGTGGACAAGGTAAAGGTAAACGTCTCCAGCGTAATCTTCCTTCATAAAATGTTCCAGAAATAAGAGGATGCGCTTCATCTGGTAAAGGGCATAATGCTTCAAAAAATGCTATTTCTTGACTAGTTCGAACCTTGATAAAACAACAAAGGTAAATACTTTCTTGATATACTTTACGACAAATAACTACGATTATGATATTTTTTGTGCAAAGAAAGCCAATATACAATTAGTTAACTGAAGTTCATGTTTTCACTTCAGTATAAGGATTCTATTCCTATGCTTTGAATATACACAATACAGATTTGTTGGATATTATTATGGACAAAATAAGAATCACTGGTTGGAAATCTGCAATTTTATGGGTTGAAATTAATTGCGATTGATAAGCGTAGACACTTTAAATTCATATCACATTCTTTCATGCAATATTTTCCGAAGTACATATATAGTTACTTTATGTTGTGGTTCAATATAGTGTACTAAATTTAGTTAAACACCCTTTGAGAATCACAAAACAATAGACAACGTTATCAGTCCAGTCTAGATCTCTTCAGTAGTATGCATTTACGAGTTCACCAGGCATTGAATCTAGGACATTCAAGCATTAAGACAAACCTTCTTGATCGGAAAGTTGGCATTCAATGGTTTGCATGACCGTTGTTAGTATTTGTATGGCACTCGATGTGACTGAACACCGATGGTTAAAGATTTTCACTAACACTATGGAAATTTTTTCAAAACGTTAGTCACTAGTAAGCTTATGATTATTTTTTTACTATAGGGGATAGAGGAGATTGCTGAAGGGTGTGATTTTACATAACGGATCGACTCTAGTTTATTACAATTTCATCATTAAAAGTGGTTAACTAAATGTTATGGTTACAAATAATTTGTAGGAAAATGTAAGATTTTTTTTCTTATAAAAGAACTACAATAATAAATTATGTAATTCTCCATTGTTTATATGTATTTTCTTAACTTATGTGTTGATATTCTGATGTCAGAAACCCACGATTGAAGCTTCGACAACAAGATTAATTATTCCATTTTTGTATTAAAAATAAATACATTACAGTGAACTTAGAAAAAAGGACAATATATTCAATAAGTTTTTTTTTTAAAACTAACAATGAATTTGTAAATATTATTGGAATGAAATGCAAATTTATGCTGTTTTGTATACAACTACATTTGATTCAAGTGTTTATTTTTTGTCGAATAATATACAGAATAAAATTATCAATGAAAATCATTTGAGAACTAAATCATAAAAGAATACAACTTATATTGATCAGGTTCAAATATATGCAATCAACGATACTATACATCTAGATAGTATCGAGTAAATTGAGTAGAGAGTTAATAATAAACACATTTTCACAATATTCTAATGTGTAGAAATTGTAATTTTAACGTTTAGTGACAATGTAAGTCAATTCTTCAGAGTAAATAAACAAAAAAAAACGAAAAAAAAAACATGACAGAGACATGCTCATACTTATTATGATTTGAACTGTACTGCTGTACTGCTTTATTTCCTGTGTACTATGTAAACTTGTATCAATTTTATTTCAGCTAATTATTTATTTACTCGGAAGAAGTAACTTACAATAAGTTGCGAAATGCCAGAAATACAAATTTATACTCGTTGGGATATTGCAAAAATATATTTATTGTTAAACCTTACACCTGTTATGTGTGAGCCCCAACAATACCTTGTTAAGCGAGAAAAAAGTTTGAAACCATTGGCATATTGAGTTAAACAACCTACCAACAAGTTTGAATTTTATCACTAACAATCAAACAAATATCCTGTCAATAATATCGATATTTGATACCTAATATAATATTCACATGACCATTTATTTTTAGTAAACCGTGTAACATTTATAGGTGATAAAGACGATAACAATCATATACTTCAGTATATTAATCAATGGGTTTTAAATTATTCAGTATGACTATACGTGATATTCACTAACAGTGTGAAGTTTGTATATACTATTCGACAAATTAGATCCAAAGCGATAAAACAATATAGTTGTTTGGACAAAATTTGAAACCTCTACATTCAGAAACATACAACAGCGTTAGTAGAAATTTCTAATTAAAAGGGTTGGTTATATTATGTAGAATTCATGTAAGAATATGCTTAAAAAAAGCTATAGATATATAACTAGCGTGAAATGTAAAGATTTGTGAATTATGAAAAAAACCACTGATCTAGGAAACACTAGACAGACTTCCAGTTTTCCAGACTAAGTAATATTTTTAGTTCGTAGACGATATGTGTATTTCATAGCTTGGTGATACAAAATATACTTTAAAATTTAGTTAGTGACATTCCTAAAGATAAACACAAGTAATCAACTAATTATGAGGATTTTTACATTGATTGGTATGTAACCACTAATTGAGATAACTAGGCGAAATTAATCGTTGATATAAAGAACAAGTTTAGTAAGTAAAAACTATCAGCAATATATAAGTTAACAAGAAATTATCATAATTTTACTAGTGATAAGACACACTGGGTAAAAAGTGATTTATTTTGTGGTTAAACAAAAATAAACTATTGCAGATTAATGGTTTATTCAATAAAAAAGATAGCTACAACTCATATAACAACAGTTTTACTACTCAAAGCATTACTATACTCATGTTACAAATGTTTCATGTTTAGAAATAAGATTTTTTATGTCAGGTATTCGACGCTTTTAAATGACAATTTTGCGAGAGCTTACTTTCTAATAATAAGTAGTACAGTCAAATAAACTAAATAGGCATGTAACCTGAACAAATAAAAGCGAAAACAGGCGATAGTTTTAAAATTTTGAACTGTAATGTAGCTACGTGATCATATTTGGAGTTGCGGATTGGCATACATTAGGAAAACTTAATTGTTGACGGTTTTTTTGTTACATTAAAATATAAATTGTCCGTCCAGTGAGTATGAGACATTTGTTTATTATAGTTTTTTTGTCTTTCAGATTCGTGAAGTCTAGCTAAACTACAAGTCCAATTTGTAAAGGGGTTTTGCTCTTAATCACCGATAACAAAAATCTGGTGTTATGTTGGACGGAGGCTGAACCTCAGAAAAACTGGACAGAATATTATCCTGATGAAGACACATGTTGTATTAGTAACTTCCCCATTCCTCATTGAGTACTATATTTCTTGTATAAAAGTAGCAATAATAAATAATAAAAAATTAGCCTACCATTAACACTGGGCGATCTTTATCGATTCCGATAGGATAGACAAGAATTTCCAAAATCGACGGTGGTATACTTTCGTCTTCTGTATATGGTACACTGAATTTATATATTTAAAAAAGTTGTAATACGAAATAATATATATCATTAAGAGAAAGAATGCTTTATTTGTAAGAGACGTTTTGCAAAATATCAACGTTTATACATTTAATCTACATTATAATGTTATGCTATGCTATTAATGTACATGAATAAGTAAATGCAACGTTATATTAATTAAAGAAAATATTTACGAAAAATGTCCCATAGAAGTTTAACTAAATAATTTATATATAAAATATACAGTTTTGTTAATTATAGTGTTACAACCGTGATTCTACTGCTAACACTTGAAACCGGAAAACCACTGCAATTTTACGACGTGAACGCGAAGAAAAGTGCAGCAGATTCTAATGACCATCGAAAATACGTCGTCTTGACCAAAAAAAGTACACTCATTTACATATACAACTTGTACACACACTAGATTATTAAAGATACCACATGGAAAATACAGTTACTGAACGTAATTAAAACTAAATTGATGCAGAATATTTATTTCAATTACATGTTACATTCTTCGTCCCCATTTTATCATATGCCAGCGGTAATGTTATCATATGTATCTTGAACTGGATGCTGGCATATAAGTGAATATGTTAAATCTAAAGGAGAAACTGTTTAATACGTACTGATATCAAATGATAGCATCTGCAACTGAATCAGGATAATGTTAATATTGATGTCAATATTTAGCTACATTAAAAGTATGTCTGTTTTTCATAACGTATAATTTCAAGCCCATTAAGTCGGAATATACCATGGATGTATCATATAAATTTTGCAAACTTTCTCCCAATATGAACTACTAAGGTTTAAGATATAAAAAACTAAGAAGTTCGTTTAACTGAAATTTAATGTACCACCAGAGTCTTCCATCATTCACCAATCTTCAATATATCAACATGTATGTAGTGAATGTAATAAAGTAATCAATCACGTAAAAACAAACTTTATAATGGAAGCGTAAATTATTGACTACGTAGAAGCATAATACAGCTGGCACTTCAAAAATGTTGTAAAGGTTTGACAATACAATAAACTAAAGGTGGGAACTTCGCAAAATAGTTTTAACACAATAATCGACCAGTCGAGAAAATAAATAGTGAAAACAATTTACTCACACAACACAGAATAACTACATGTTGATCAGTTTTAAATCATGATATAACGATAGAAAACAAATGTTGCTAATTATTCAAAAGAAAAAAATTACTTTTGTGAGTTTGTATACGGCTTATGAAGTTGTTCACTACTTACACCTCGATGGTCTATCAACATTTGTGGAAGATCTGTGAAATGATGGACTTCATAGAGTAAAGTAAAATCGGGTAAACTATAAATCTGCAGAAAAAAAATATGTAAACGTGTGTAAACAGGATGTTCAAAGCAAATATAAACCAAGTAAAACAGAATACAACTGGAGAGTTTTACATCAATAACATTTTTTAGTCATATCACTAAGTTTAATCGGATACATTTAAATGCTTCGTAATGATGTTCAAGTGCCGAACACTTAATTGAGGATCAGTGGGTGGAGTTTCTCAGTCGTCTCGCTGAAACTAAGGAATTACAACGAATTTTTTTTAGAAATGTAACCCATTAAGTATAGCTTTGTGTAAATCGCTGTGAGTCGCACATTTTATGTAAGAACTAGTGATCCTAGCCAGCTGCTCACAACAAAGTAAATAAAGAACTGTTTAAAACAGAAAATTTTAGTCATAAATCCACTGCTGGCAGTAAGTTGACAAGAAAAAAGTGTGTAGAAAGATTATCTGGGGAATAGATGGTTTGCAATTAGCATTGGAACTCGAGATGGGTGTTTCATCTTGTGCGGGACTCTTCAGCCGGATATACATGGATCAGTGTTAACAGTTACACTAGGACTTAGACCTAGTACCTTTCACTTCAAACGTCAGACGCACCATCTACTGAGCCTGGGTGGTACATAATTTGTGCAAAATGTATGATAATTATATCATTAGTAAAAGAGCTTTGAAATATCCTGTTGTGATATCCTTGACTGAATTTCAGTCAGCCTTTACCAAAGCCGGGATAAATTCAACGTCTCTACATAAGAGGTAAGCTCGGATGAATATGAGGATGATATCTTTTAAAGAGACCATAATATAAATAATATGAACAAGAACATAGAGAAAATACTAAGACCGAAATATCTAACTATTTTCATAGAAAAAATAAGATATTATTATGTGTGGAACAGGAAAGACGGCTTAAAAGTAACATCGACCAAACACTTTTTCTGTCAACTGAAGAAACAGTGAATGAATATGAAGTCGTCATAAATAAAATCAAAGTAAAATTGAACTACAGCTATCGTCATTAACGATATCGTAATTAGGCGAGAGGAGGAAAATAATTGGATCAATGGTTAGACTTTAGAGTAAACTTTGAATGATGCTGAAAAGAATTATTTGATGTTAGTTTGTTTATCCAAAATGTAATGAACATTAATAAAATATCACGATCTTGATAAGGTTTCGAACATAGATACTTTAATATGACAGTAGACAGAATATGAAAGTGTTCAGTACACTGCCCGAAAAACCAAGTTTTAATGAGATTTGTCGGTTAAACATGAAAACAAACACTTTTCTACTCGTTGATTTTATAACAGTTGTATATGAGTATTACATGATTATACACGTAGCAGAAAAGTTCGGAGGTCGGAGCACAATTTTTTAACCGAATGCCTGAGTAAATACAATGTATCAAAATAGGAATACAGAAGAGATTCAACAATGTGTAGTATTGTCAACTTTGTTAATGTTATAAAAGCAACAAGTACTTACTTCAAGCACACCATTGGTGAATACAATAAATGCGAAATACTTCGATAGTTTTTCTTCTGTTAAATCATCCATACTAAGAGAAAATAGAAAATATAGACTTATTCTAACAATGAATTGTTTTATACTAATTGCTAATTAAATTGTTAAATCTAACGGATGAAGGCAGTGTTTAGTTGATATTTTGAATTGGATTCAGAAAATTTCAACAATAAAAAAAGGAGCCTGCACAATAGAATAACAACCAGGTAAAAATATATGTACTGGTTTGTAGTAATAGGAGCAGTTTTGGAAGCTACAATTTCAAATGTCATTTATCAAAGAGGAGAGGAAAAAAGTTTTCTATTTATGAAATGATAATACAATATATACGTAATAAATACTATTTTAAACACTTGTTCGATGAAATTGTACAAAAAACAAAAAGAATATATAAATGTAAGTTTGACTGTAAACACTGGCTTTTATTTACTAAGGAAACATAAACATTTTTACCGACAACCAAGTTTATCAATAAGATTTAACTTAAAGTTTCCATTTGGCTTCATCAATCGACGGGTCATAACAATGTGTATTAATGAAGGATGTACCAACTAAGTAAAGAAAATATCGAGGTTGAAGTCATATTACTGACTGTACTGGATTGTAGTGACAGTAAGATGTTTCACTCGAACATTTATTCGTTTATAACCTTAACCGTTTTTATACGAGCATATGTGTGTTTATCACTTACTCTATTCATTATGTCTGGCTTATTTATCTGACTATAAATAGTGAGTCACACTTTATCAAAACTAGTTGGCTATTTCTGCCACTTCAGTTGGAGTGCACTCCTCTTTCCACCACATCACTGATCTGCATTAACGAATGCCTGAAATATATGTTCCACAAATACTTTCGTATTCAATTTCTCATATCTAATTTGTTACTAGCCGGATTAGGATATATATTTCATTACCGTCAAGGTTATTCTATCATATAGAGTCAGATCAGGGGCCACTAAAATCTAAAGAAACCTGCTATAGACTGTTAAGTCAAATTCCCTCAGTTGAACCTGAGATTACTACGAAAGATCACCAGGACCGACAACGTCAATCAATATCTTGTCTGCAAACTCATTGAATTAAAGTACATAAATGATACGGTTATGCTTAATGGACATTGTTTTAAGCCGGTTTGTAGTAGTAATGGGTTAACGTTTAGGGACTATTTTTATTATCTACTACTTTTGTTCACTATTTATTTATTTAGTTTTAATAATACTGTAGTGAACGAGAACACGGGTGGGGACAAACGGATGTATTTAGCACAACAATTACAGTCTATTTCAACAATATCTGAATACCATATATTAAATCGTCAATTTGCAAAATATTCACGCATCAAACCAAACTGGATTGTTTCTGTTGCAAACACCAATCCATTGTCTCCCATTCCATTGTTCATAGGTTTTCTTACCATTTCCATTATGTTCTCGCTCCACCTTTCTTGGTGTTCGCCATCTTTTGCTGCCAGACATTACGTTCTTTTAACGCACGTTATATACTACTTATATCAATATAAGTAGCTCACACCACGATACTACCTTTACTTTATTTTCTCAATCTCCTCATCACTTCACTTCCGTAATTATGTAGTTCATACTTATTTTGGTGCTCAGATGCATTAGTGTTCATGTGTAATACCATAATAAAATGTAGGAATCCAGTCATATATTTGAGTGCCATCAATACTAATCGGTTACCAACACCGAAATATATGTGATGGGATTCCAACCAACTACCAGGTGATTGAAAGTTGAGTGATTTAACCGTTAAATATAATTGATGAAAATAAATTCAAATCATGAAAAGAGTTAACCTACACATTAGCTTCCGTCAAACTATTGTTTAAAGATGAATGAGATGTAGTAGACAGAGAAAATTTAGGTGGTTGCAATGTATTATTACCAAGCGCTACAGAACCTTCTCTTTTACAAATTTCAATTGGTTCACCATAAAGTAGAATACTTTCTTCTTCTGATGCACTGATCAATTGTGCGGATTTCCTGAACATAAGAAACAAGATGTTACAGGAATATATTAAGTACAAGTTGAATTGGATGGAATAATCTTAATTATCAAAAATCAAACACCAATACTTACTCTGTTGGTGAAGCGAATGGTGCTGTGACATCCGCAGCTGGAGTAGTTGACCCAGGTTCTGGCCAAGATGTAACTCCTGGACAAGAAACTAAGTGATCCAGAGAAGCAGTTGTGTGTAGGTTGAAAAATGAATTGTCAGCTGGTAAGTCTTTACAAGCCCAAAGCCATCGAGTTAAACGTCCAGCATAATCATGATATAAACTGAAACAAAGCGGTGCAGATACCTAAATATAAGAAAATGAAGTGCATTCGTAATTTATTGAATGACTATACTAATCGCATTGCAACTTCATTTAAAGATGACTATTAACTCAACCAATTATCATCAGAAATTCGATACGAGATATGTGAAAATTTTCTGGGATTGATGCTAACAAAAAAATTAGTGAGAGTGCAAATACACATGAAGATAATAGGTTTTTTTTGGGACAAACAATCACAAACCAAGTTATTAGAACGGATCGATTGAGTAGTTATGGGATGCATCTGAGAAGCTCACTTCTATTTGGAACAAGTGTCGATGATGATGGTGTCTAGGATCTTAATGAAAGAACACAGTTAAGATAATGCGACATCCTTAAACTTTCAGAAACTACCATTTATTACAATGACTTTCAATTTGATACATTACTTATATGATTTACTAATAATTATATCTTTATTCTAGCATCTTTTAGAAGGTTCCATTCGTTTGAAGGTAAACAATAAACTTTGGAGTGAAATCCGAAAACTAACAACAAATATTCTCCCAAGTTTTATACTTTAAGAACTGGTTAAGTAACAATAAATGAGAGCAAACTGCAAGTTATTTACGAAAATATTTAGAAAGCGTTACAAATGAACAAAATTCTATGGGATATTAATAGTTCAGTCGACTGAAAATTGGTTATATGATTCAATGATCAATGTTTCGAATCCTTTCGGGGTTCAACTTCAGGTCAAAATTCAATAATAACTTTTATAAACAACTATGATGATTTGACAAAAAATATACTAGAAAAATAAGACAGAATCATTATTTTTTCTTACCTGTTTAACTTTCGGTCTGATCACTTCTAAATGAGTTGTAGATATTGATTTTGCAGGTTGATCACCATTTTCATCGATTAGTGTAGATGTAATAACTTTATTATTTGACTTTTTTATTGGACTAAATCTATTAATGTCATCTTGACTTTTTAACCGTACTAAAAATAATTCATCATCTTCAGTGCATAATAAAATATAAGGATCAGCACAACTAGCTAAATGTATACGCCATTCTAATGTCACTTGAACATACTCTATAAGTCTTGGACCATCAAGTAAACGTAAAGATGTAGGTGAAACCTATAAGCATGAACAAAATAAGACAAACATACGCGTTTAGAAAGAAAATTTTACACAATAATGAAGCAACGTAATGTCAATGTAATGCTTAAGTAATAAGCATCAGGATATATTAAAACTAACAGGTATCTACGGTTAATGAACAGAGTGACCACTAAAAATCCAACTTTTTCCCCTCTATAAAATAACTTATCAGAAATAAAAGGTATAACACTGGAATGCTTTTTGCATAGATTAGAGATAATGATAACTATTTGAAAATCTAACCAACCTGTAATATGTAGGGATAATCAATTCCCACAATATATTCTTTAGATTTCATTTCATTTCGTTTGGTTGACTTAGTGGTTGCAAAAGTAGTCAATTGATCTGGTATATTATCAGAATCATCATTGTTTTTATTTGTTTCTCGTCTAACTTGTTGAATATACTCAAAACCCAAATTGAATGCACCCACAGTCATTTCTGTAGTATTGAATCCACTTACTTCAAGTTCCACTATTTCATGACTCACTTCAAGAATCTTTAAATTATAAAAGTATATACAAAATAACAAATTACTATTCTTCATTAAACATTTTGGTAGGATTAAGTATAACTATTCACTTTATGTTAGTAGATATTTATTTAGAAGTGTTGTATAGGTGATATTAATTGTAAATTACATAATTCTTTTGGATATTATGAAGTATTTGAGTTATTGCTTTAAACTAATCTAATAAATCGCACTGACGAAAAGTCATGCCGCACCTTACAAAGACTGAACACAAAGGAACAAATTTTATTGTACGATTAAACAATATAAAAATAATTAATAGATTGAACTTCGGTCAACTTATTTTCCTATACAAGTTGTATTATTATCGACATAGAACATTTCAGAATACAGTGAAACCATGTCACTGTTGAATCATGATTTTTATTGTCAGTTTTCATTTACTTATGGTTATCTTAGTAATTTTTTTGCATACAATTCGTCATATTCTGAATTTTAGATTCACTGAAATATAGTGATTAAAAATTTAGGAAAAGGTTTAATATTCAATTGTATATTTTTCGCAATTCGATTGGACTAGACTTTTACTTTATCGTTAAAAAAGATGGATAATTGTAATTTTTAGTCTATATGAGTGATAAACAATAGCTCAAATAATGTGGATTCGTGAGACGATTTATTCCGTAGGTTATTAAACTAAAACAATCCGTACCTGGAACAAATATGCGTCGTCTCCAGTTATCCCGTTTAGCGTAGTTCATAAGCCAAGCACAAGTTTATGGTACTCAACTTTGAGCCATACAATTTATTTGTGTGAGCTGATGATACCACCTGACCGCCCAAACCAAAGTAGATGGAGGTAGGTTTGAACCTGTGACCTACCGGTTGAACGCTGAGCGCTTTAAACACTAAATGAATTATTCTGTATATCCATATATATTTAACATGTGTTAGTACAAAAATGTTTCATAAAACTTTTCGAACACCGACGTTACATGCATCAGTAACGTGGGTTAAACGATAGTAAAGCTGTCAGTAATTGGTGTTAAACTTCAATAGTTAAAAGATAACCTTGTTTATAGCTAAGTATCAAAGTCATGTATTGAATTGTTGCGAAAACTGTATCCATTACGAGTAGGATGATATCGGGTTTTCAACAGCTTTTTAATGAATATTAACTTTTGATGGATAATTATTTGGAACTTGTTGGGAAGTTTAATATGTCCTCTCTTTTTAATATTAATTTTCACATGAAAATTTAGTACAAATAATAAGCAGAAAATAGACAATAATGATGGAATTACAAATGAAAAATTACATACAGTAAGTACATATAAAACTCAGAAATGTAGGATACAAATTAAAACTGTTAGGCGAGTTTTTTTACATAGTTTTATGGAAAGAGATATTACTTATTACTGGGTCTTTCAGAAGGTGGTAACATGGACAAGGCCAGAGACAATTAGTGATGTGAGAGGTTATTATATGAATTTCTTATGGCTACTCGAAATCACTTAATGGTAAATACAGCTAAACGCTACACTATATTATTTACCTAAATTACTAAATTGGTAACCATTGGTTAGAAACAAAAAATTAGTAGTCTAGACGTTATAAAACGAACCATACCATTGTAGAGTCTTCTCTAGTCAGTAAAAGATAACTATGTGTTAGATCATTAGATAGCTCCGATTCTGCATCAAAATTGTCTTCATTTACAACTTTTTTTTCATTTTCATCAGATATATTTACAACTGGTTCATTATCCTTAGAAGTTTCTTTGTCTGTATCATTATCTGTAACTGGAACAAAAACAACAAGAGAAGAGAGATTTAATAAAACAAAGTTATGTTAAACAGAATAGAAGACCTATGTGATGAATTTTCTCTATGGTATGAAGTGAGCTATTGATAAAGCGTGATAAACACTATTAGTTCTAGCGTAAGCAGTCAAGAGGAAGGAGGAAGGTATATTTGTTGTGAGAAGTTACTAAGTATTTATATAATACATATAGATAACCTTTAATCATCCGTTTTTGCATTTTTGGTGTGCTCTGACAACTCCATGCTTCTGGTATACAGAAACACTTCACTCAGGCTGACAATTGTTGTAACTTTGATGCCACGACCCGCTATGTACTACTTACAAACGACCGTGTTAGTATCGTCCACGACACTAGTAAGGTGAGAACAAGTGACTTTTTCCCCTTCTCACAATTTTAGAAATTGTTTCTCTTTAACGGAACCTAAAGAAAACCAAAATCGTCTTAATTACATAAGGAGAAAATGCAGAGCTCAACCAAAACCAATCATTTTGACAATATTTGATTTTAAACTTGAGAATGTGTCAACATGTTTTAGGATTATACAATTAACAACGGAACTCCACGAAGTAAGATGATATTTTTAACTCTCCCCTCAGAAAACGAGAAGACATTGTCTCTCAGTATACTGGTTTTCTTTAAAACACACTTCTACCAAAATGTCTCGATAAAGTTGCGGACACGAATTTATCAAGTACATTCTAACATTTCCTTATATTTCCATACAACGGTATGAGCTCAAGAAATGAGCATTTCATTTAATTTCGGTCAAATGAATCATCACGATAGGAAACTCGTATTTTTCTTACTCATGAGAGTATCATTTACTACTTACAACAATGTAACCTATTACAACGTATAATTTTTGAATAATTCAGATACTTTTAATTATGGAGATTTGAATTCTTACTAGAAACATTTAAGTTATAACAGTAATCCATTGCAAATATCGATTCACTTTGGGAAAGGATCAATAATCGGGAGGTATGAATAAGAGTTTACCTGGTAAAAAATTAAAAATATTCCTTAACAAATACGTATACTGGCTAACCAATGTACAAGATCTCTTATTATTTAAATTTGATAGGAAGTTATGAATCACATGATGAATAAAGGTTACAAAACTTACTGGATTCAGTGGCACCTGTAGTTTTCTCAGTATCTTCGTTGAGTTCTGTTGGTTTTTCTACTAAATTCTCATCTACCTTTTCTTCTTCTGAATGAATGTCTGGTATTTCTAGTTTTCCATTTGAAGCTGTAGTTGGACTGCTGTTTGTTCCAATTGAAGGTTTACTAACAGGAGAGGAAGGAATGCTTTGAACAGGAGTAACTATAGGTGGACCATAAAGGGACCATAAACTCATATATTCAGGCAATTCAAAAGCAGTTAAACCTCTTGGTCTTACACTTGTATGCAAAAGTGCTACACCTCCACCAGAAACCGGATTCTTCTCAGTTGGTACATTAAATGAACGTGGTATACATGCCATTAACTCAACATGGTGCATCTCTGCTTGTGCATAAGTAAGAGCCTCATCTGTAGGATCAGTATTACCAGGAGCTAAACATGGAACTTCACCAGACGTTAGTTGTCCCATTGGTCCCAAGTTGATCAATCGGTCTACTACCTAGAAAGAATTGAAAAGAATGTTGAATATATGCAAAGCATAAAAAGTACTTTTGCGAATTCGCCGGTGTTTTCACTACACAAAGATTTTGTGTCCTAAACAAATAAAATGATAGTGACTCCATAAGGTATTTATGTAAACATTTACGTTAAGTTTAAAGTGAATCGAGTTCTAAAACATGCCTAGCCGTAGAACTTTTCAAGATAATTTCTTCAGAGAATGTAAAACTAGGCAATAACTATGTCAAAATGAGCATTACGTAAGATAGACAGTAGCTTACACCTATAAGACTCCATTAAAACTATAAACGAAAAGCATTTAATCTGAAAATTTCAGGCTTCTTTGAAATACACTAATTCATATGGACAGAAAGCAACTCTATAGAATAAAACTTTATAGTCTCACTGAAATGGAAAAGGGTATAAGAAAAAAACTTACTTTAAAACTATAATTAATAATTTCTCGATAAATCGAAGGCGGACTAAGAATACTTTCGCCATAGAGTTCAACATCGACGTCATCAAATTTATAATGATTGTCTGATACGATATCACTTTCATTTGGTGTATTCCTTTTTGTACTTTGTGATAGCGACTTTGATATCATCTTGTCGTTTTCTCCTTCTCTTTCTATACGAGGACATTTATTAGGAATCTAAACGAGATAAAGATCAAAAAATGAAATTAAAACAGAAATGTCACACGAAAAAACACATATAATCAAATGTATAATAAGTAATAGGATATATCTTTATGATTATTATAGAATTTACGATCAACAAAAAATAATCTTACTACTAATAAATTAACTTATAAACTAATATCTGATTTTTATGTTAGGTGATTGAAGGTAATCAACAAAAACGCCTAGATCTACGTTTTTGCTAGACTGCTGTTTTTAAGTAAGTTATATCTACAATCTACAGTGAACCAATAGTCCCTATCAGATTCAAATATACATCATCTAGTGTCACAAAAAAGACGGTAACATTAAGTTACTCCAGAAGTGGCTGATTTGTCATAGAAAGCATGTTTTCGTTAGATATTGAAACTCTAAAACAAGCAAAATAATAAACTATATTTCGAGAATTCATTTTGGCCCAAGATATGCTTAAGCCTAGATTAAGGTGAAACTATGTATTACATCCGTCAGGATTGAAATATGTACTGATATTAGTAAACAGATAGAAACATGGTTAATGATTAAGAAAAATCACTGCACTGTTGAAAATCTACATGAGAATGATTATCTTCAGATAATCCGATAAAAGAAATAGATTTCACTTGTTTCAGTTTGGGCACCCGGGCAGTATCACAGCCCTCACACAAATCAAATGAGATTTGTATGGCGTATATTTATCTGTTGTCCCTTTGTACCAATATCCATTTCTTTAGGTGTATGGAAGGAATGTGAATGTTGGTGTAAACTACAGAACAGGCTGTTTGAGGTTGTTCCGTAAAGTTTGTGTTTCTTAAAATATCTTTTCGGCTACAACAGATTACTATATGATAAGGCGAATACGTAAATTTTAGAAGCACACTCTATAGCCTGTTGTTCTCTATCATTTAGTTCCATCACTGTGTGGCCGTGCATGTTGAGACATTAAATGTCCTCGGTTTTATTGATTTCAACTACGTTTATTGATTTGACGAAATCTCAAGCAATTGTGGTTTCAGCCATTACAAATTGGTTAGTTAACTGGTTTGGTTAAAATATCCGATCAGAACTTGGTATCAATAAAACAGAAAATCTACTAAAACGAGTAAAGAGACCAAGATTTCGGTTGTAAGCCTAAAACCATACGGATTTAACAGTTTTTTTTAGATTGGTTATTATACAACTTAATTACTTAGTGAATAATACTGAAACGTAAGCGATTGGAATATTTTGGCTGTCAATAAAGAAACTAACCTCATCGGAATCGTCTTCAACAATACTTTTGCCATCTGCAAGTTTTGAGTTCTTTAACGTATTATTAGTACCACTAGATTGATCTAATAGCTGATGATCTACTTCTTTTCCATTTGCATCAACACATAATAAAGAATAATCGATTTTCATTAAGACAGAGTCGCAAAAGCGTGAACCAATGAATAGATATTTCGATTCTAGAAGAATCATCTGAAAAATTAGAAAAATGGGTTTTGAATATATGGAGTATTAATTATTAGGATGACGCCTTATACTCCATAACATACTCTTTATTCATTTTAGACAATTAATATAGAATTAACTTGACTGAAAAAATTGCTGAAATTAGAGACTATTAGGAGTCGACTTATAAAAGCAAGCTGATATTTTCTCTAGGTTTAGATTGGAAATGAACACAGCACTTACACACTGAGGAGGTACTGCGTGACCAACTTTATGAAACAGCAAACTGGTCACAGTCTGAGTGGCTTGTTCAAGCCAGAGTGAGAGCAAATAGAGATTCCCAGATCGTGTACCAATCAAAAACTGTGTTTCATTTAAAGTAACTACACGACAACCGTCAATGCTTAACGGACCGCAAGATGGCACGTCTTGACCTACAAATCAAAAAACGAAATAGGAACTTATAAAGTACGAAAAGCATAACAAGATTATACAATAGCATTACCCAAACATAATGATATTAGTTGCAAAATCATTAATAGTGCGGGAACAATAGAAAATGTTTTCCTGTTTGACACCCTAAAACAGTGTATATTGAGGACCCAGGACTTCCAAACCACGTAATGAGCGAGTACTATTCTATTACGCAGAAAAGGTCTTTTTAGTGAGATTTCTAAATTATAAATAGATTATTTGAAGATACATTATCAAACCACAATGTAAAATAATTGAAGAACTATTCTAACGGAGTAATGAAATGAGAATCGGCCACTTTTAAAACATCAGTCAGTCACGACATAGAACCTGGTACATATGTATATCGGTTCAAGTTGTCATACTCCATTGGAACGGAGAGATGAAATCGTTAGTCCAAATCACAGAATAGTAGGGGTAGTAACACTATCAGTGGTAATATGAAAGATAATGCAGAGAAGATATGATTCGAGGAAATATAAATTAGTGAAATAAAAACAAAAAAGGGTATGGGAAATTTAGAATCTCAGAATTCGGGAAGTGACAAAGAATAGATGCACCTGCGCCACTAAAAATGACTTTGAGCCATTTCAATCAAAGTCTTTAACCGTTGGTTACGATAATCACGTGGATACCAACCAGGTAGTTTATACTTACCAACGTGGCTAAGTCCGATTGGTTCGGCCATCACTAACTTTCTTTCAGCCCACTCCTACATCAGAAAACATCGCCCTTCGCGGTATGCAGTGGTTGGACATACGTAACATATATTCCAACCACCTTAATTGATGGAGATTTACTACCTTATCAATCAGTTCCCCATCTTTACCCAGTGCTCTATTCCTAACTTAGGCATTGCTTACGCCGTCGTCCCAAAAGACACCTAAGATCGAATACCAGTAACTTACGAATATCCCCTATTCTTAATGGCCATGTTTCCTATCCAAAAAGTAAGACGGAGAGAACTGCTGCGCAGTAAACTCGCTCTTTGGTTAGAGGAAGGTTATGTTGCCTACGCCACAAGTGACGCAATTTGGTAAAAGCCAATCGGGCCTTCTGAATCCATGCCGAGATTTCGTCAGACATCACACCATCAGTACTGATGAGACTCCCAAGATAAGTAAAAACATAGGATATACAGTTTAAAAAATCTTAATTGTAGCCACAACAGCAAATGCACATGTAGGCGGCTGTGAAAACAACCTAATCACAGTATTTTGACTGAAGAATTTCAAGCGTATAACAGTGAATAAATCACTATACTGGTTTAAAGCTTTTTTAAAGTTGTCGAAATATAAATTCATACACAGGGATCACTAACCAGTGAACACATTAAATGTTATTTTCAAGCATCAAACAACCAGGTTTAGCTAAAAGCTGATCGATGGAGAGTTTAGTGACTGGTATGGTTAATTTGAACAAAACAATGAGCGGTTTTATACCATTCACAAGGTAACCTACCGATGCACTTATTGTATCTGAACTTTTTTGACATATCAACAATAGGTTCACTTTTATTTGAGCAATGATAATTCATGTTTCTTCGTCTAGCCGAATAATCAAACTCGAGTGATAGTTGACGTCAAATAAAGCTTATAATATGCACATAAGATATGAAACAGATAATGCCAACAACAACTTACATTTTAACACTAGCCATTTAATACCAATATAGTAACAGAAGGATGAAAGACTTACGCATAGGAAAATTGGTCGATATTTGTGCATAGCAATTTAGTGGGAGACCACATGATGGGAGCGTCTGTTTCAAATATAGAATGGAATTTGCAGCCATAACTACGACTCCACCTAAAAAAAACAAGAAACCATTTCAGTTAATGCATCATACGTAGTGTAAACGATGAGTAAATCAAAACATACCAAATTAAGTCACATAAACACCAGTTCAATCTAAACATTCCCATTAGTTACATTAGATACTACATCAAGTCAAAAATGTCCTGGTAGTTGAATGCACCAAATGCTTTACATTACTAACATTAGACTTCTAAAAGATAACAATTTCATCAAGTGAATTTCCAAAAAGCTTGAAAGTTGACCTCCTCAACTTTCGTTCAATAAATTGCTTTATTCATTATCATGAAAGCAGTTTTTTTCAAATACATCGATTACTGAGATTTATATCCAGTTAGTCAGTTATAGATAGAACGAATATGCGTCAAACCAAGCTGATATACTGATAAGATAAAACTAATAAACGAATGGCCAGAGTTGAAATATTAGTGTACAAACGATATCAAAACTGAGCACTGAAGAATACAGATCGAAATGAAGTAATAAACAGTACCAAATAATATTGAAGTTCAAGATCTAGAGGAATACACGGAGTGATTACATTTTTGTCACCGTGAATGACTGTTAGTCATGTCGCCCAATGTCTCCAACCATTTATTGTGTTTACTGCGTAGTTCCCAGTGTAGTAGTCTAAACATATCAAAACAGTTTAGACCAACAGTCTATGAGTATATGGATTGGTGTCAGATATTGGTTTGACAACCTCTAGCTTTCTCTCAACTAGCTTGAACCCTAACCAAATTGACCATCGAAGTACAGAGCATTTGGACATATATATTACATGTCGCAGTTATCTTAGCCGATGAAGATTTACGGTTTTATTAACTGATTTCCCATCTTTCCCTAGTATCCTATGCCTAACCTCGGCATTGATCACTTTTTGGTCAAACCACAGGCAAGCAATATTTAGAAGATATGCGATCAAAAACCTGTAGCCCAATTATGTATTGGATTTTCACAGGTAATACAGAGTGGGTTCCTGGGCACCACTTGGTCATAATGACATTAAATGGTGTTCTTTAGGGTTATCTGCTTTCCTTATTTTTTTAGTTAACTTTTTAAAACACATTCCTTTGGAAATAACTCCTTTGTGTGACTTAATAACTCTTCCTCTCTGTATCATCTCCTTTTATATACAGTCTTTTTTATATATATTACTACCATTGAAGTAACTGCTTCTATGAATTTGGGGTTCGTTTTGCTGTGCTAATGGGGTACAGCAACTTGGACTGATGTATATATGTGCCTGGTCCTACGCTTTGGATGACTGACTTGTGAATAGAATACATAGAAGTGTAACTGTAGAAATGACACTAATAAGAATAAGCGTAAAATGGTTCTTCCGTAAGCTCAGTTTGATAATTTAACTTTACAACCAAGTACAGCTTGACAGTGCTACAAGTATGGACGAAATATCTTACCTATCGGTTGAGGTACAGAAATGACTGAACGACAGTCAAATGGTAGAGATTCTTGAAACCATATAACTGGATTCGTCCGCTTTTGAAGGTTGAAAGATAGTGCCACAATGCAGCATGTGTCTCTTCGAGCTGAAACGCGTCTGGGTGAAGGTAATTTTCAAAATCAGTAACATACCCTGCCCACGTACCAATGGGTTCATATAGCACCAACAATGTTGGTTCATAAAATCCGTAAAGAAATTGCATGTCAAGGACATTGTTAATCTTTTCTCCAGTTGATGTGCTTAGACACGTCGTAAACGTGGCTAATAATGGTGCTGTCGCTCTTTGCTGCCACAAAAGCGAGTTTCTGACGCTAATATGTTTTGGATCTGTTTCTGCGGACACTAAAACTTCTGTACGTCGGAAAGGTAAAACGGCGAGATGACGGTCGTATACTAGCATAACGGCACAACGTTGGTGTGGATCTAGCCTTAGAATAGGAAGCTTTGTAAAGTTCATTCGACCTGACTGTAAGAAAGAACGAAGACTAATTTAGGATCATATAAGCAAAACCTAGATACAGATGGAAGTTGTATGAAAGTGAAAACGTAAAGGTAAGAAAGAGAAGTCGAAATGAAAAACTGAAGTCGACTAAAGGAATATTGCCTTGTCAAGTAAACGACCATAAGAATAAACGTACTTAGAATGCCACGAAAACACAATAAATTGCTAACAAGAACCCGTATGCACTGAAAATCTAAAGCCAAAACAACGGAATAATATTTTTGACAGTGAAGCCGATGCAAGGGTGAACAAAATTACGTTAGAATGGAAACAAACTGATAAAACATGAAAATAAAAAACGAGCGAAAAATGTTTAAGTTGGACTATAGCAGTGAGTTACTAGTTTGGGTTTCACTATTTATAAAGAATACAGACAACGGCAAGCGGTTCTAGTAAGACGATAATTAGTCTTTGAAGATGAATCGAATTCAGATATACTTACTACTCTCACATGGACAGGATGATATCAAGAAAATATCCCTTCCAAAATGCATGATATAATGGCAAATATCTGACTAAAATCGTATAGACGTACAAATATTTTCTCAAACTGGAATTTTGTAGGTATTAAAATATACACGGGCTTATTTGTTTAGATTACATACTTGAGGCGAAAGAAACCGTAAAGATATTAGTACTAGGATACGAAGGCTTGATTTAGGGTCAGTCTTAAATCTACTGAATAGATCTGATGTGTTGACAACCGTATAGTCTTGCATCAGTCAGTATAGTTCTAGGAAAATTCACACTATAGGACAAATAGTGAGGTTCAGTTTAGTGTGTATTTGTAAACAGAACTACCATAGAGGTCTCTGTGCGAGCACAGATATGCAAAATACACAGCACGTGGGAATATGGCAACTTGGTAGACAATATGTCATAGTAAAGCAAAGTAAATTACATGTAGGAGTAAAAGTGTACTATATGCTACATGATCAATGAAAGAAACTTCTCTGAATTTTCCTTAATGGGTAAACATTTATTATTCTGTGTGCTGAGATGGCCAATGTAAGTTTACAATAACAAAAAACCACTGTTTCCAAGCAAACCTAAAAGGTACGTAAGAAGAAACTATGTTGAGAACCTACTAATACTATGTGGGCTTACTATGAGTATGTTTCATGAAACGAACAAAATTCTCGGCGTTACCCTGTTACGAACGTTAGTATTTACTAAATCAAAGACTACTGCTAATTTAGTGAGTTGACTCCTACTGCGTACCCAGCTGGGATGACTTTTAAAGTCCAGTTGCGAGATTAGCTGAAGAAGCATAAGAGATTTATGTAAAATATCCACAAGACAAACACAATGCATGTTATTAATTATACCGAATAACAACAATCAAACCTTAAGGTTTTCAAATTCGTAGTTGTGAAGGGATAAGGTCCTTAGTTCAAATGTGATAGGATTGAAGTTCATTACAGCAACCTGCGAGTTTAAAAAAAGAATAATGGAATTTTACCTTAGCTTCCGGGAAACTCAGAAGAAGTGAATCCAAAAGATCACCTGTGAAGCGTACAGTGACAATGTCAGCGATATTTTCGTATACGGATGTTCCGTATACCCAATTAAATCGCGTTTCCCCAGAAGCACTTGTAAATTAAGTGGGAAGCTAATAAACTTACCTGGACTTAACATTATATATTTCAACGAATCCACCACGAGTAATGACAAGGTTTTTTAATTTAGGATGAATTAGGTGGCAATAAAGGCAATTATCTACAGCGGTTGGTGGTGAAATGTGCTTAAAAATTGCACTAAACGTTGTTGGTTTAGTTGTGTCAACCCCAGTGTTCATCTTCTGAGTTTCTAAGAATGCGCTGATAAACAGCCTGACCTTCTCAGGCGAATTTCAACTCTCAGTTGATTTAGATTTGTGTAACAATGACAAAAGGCCTACGGCCTATGTTATTTCTTTTCTAGTATGCTTCTATAAGTGTCCAGTCTTCTCTTGAAAGAGTCAATTGAAGATGCGGACACCACTGCTTCGGGCAGCAGGTTCCAAGTGTTGATGACTCAGTGTGAAAACCAGTATGTCACGGGTATTTTGTTCATTCTTGACTTTTCTACTCGCCTGCTATGTCATCTGAGATGTCCTGATCTAGTGGGAAGAAAAAGGAAGAATAATTCAGGTTCAAAATCATCTCTCAGTATTCTGTACATCAAAATTAGATCTCCCCTTAATCTGCGATAGGACAGAGTAAAGAGGTCTAGCTTTTCAAGCCGTTCTTTGTATGGTAAACCCCGGAGTTCTGGAACTGTACGGGTATCTAGGATATCCGAGTCACCTTTTAAACAGGGGCTTGTTGCCTGAACGCAGTTCTCAAACTTAGTTCTCACTAAGGATGTGCATACTGTGGTGAATATGGTAGTATCTAACTTAGTGAATGTCCTTTCTAAAGCCCAGAGGGTTCAAAACCCTTTAGCTGGAACCTCCCGGCAACAAGTCGTCGTCTTAAGATCATGACTCACTGTCACTCCTAGATCATCATGAGACCGGACCACGGGTAATGGCACTTCCCCTACGTCGTACCTATTAACCTTTGAATTCCCAAAGTGCATGTAGACACACTTTTCCGAGTTTATAGGCATCAGCCATCCTTTAGACCAGTTGATCATATTATTGAAGTCTGCCTGAAGAGCACACGCGTCTGTGTCTTCAGTTATTACTCGTCAGATCTTTACATCGTCAGCGTATAATAACATTGGAAACTGTACTATACTTGGAAGATCATTGATATACATTATAAAAAGTAAAAGACCTAGGATGGAACGTTGAGGTACTCCACTAAGTACTGGTCTCCGGATGGAGCACTTGGAATTTATTCTTACTTTCTGTCTACGGCCTACTAGGAAATCCCCAATCCATTTTAAAAGAAGTCCGGCAATACCAAGATTTTCCAACTTCAATAGCAGTCTATTAGTTGGCATCTTGTCAAAAGCCTTACTGAAGTCTATGTAGACAACGTCCACTGAGTTTCCGTCGTCTAGCACCTTGATTCAATATTCTATTACTATAAGGAGGCTCGTTGTACAAGATAGACCATTTCTAGAACCATGTTGTTCTATATTTAGCAAGTTATTGGTTTCCATAAACGCCATTATGGTCCGTTTGACTATTCTTTCCAATATTTTAACTACGATACTGGTGAGGCTTACAGGTTTGTAGTTCGATGAAAGTTGTCTTGGTTCTGTGTTATGTATGGGAGTGACGACTGTGTCCTTCCAGTCCATAGGTTGCACATCTTGGTCAAGTGACATATTGAATATCACAGTCAGTGGAGCCGCGATATATTGTGCAAAATGTCTCAAGATTTTGGGGTGTAGTTCGTCTGGTCCTGTTGATTTTCACATGTTCAAGGTTCTAAGAGCCTTCAGCACATCGTCTTGGTCAAAGTCCATGGTGTGCAAATGGTTTGTTGACTCTTTGTTTTGGTCTGGTTCTTTGTCTAGAGGAGGTTCCTGAGTGAAAACTACCCCAAAGGAGTTAGCCATGACCTCTTCCTTTTCTCGATCTTCCTCTCTCATTTCAGATTCACTCTCTTCTTTAATTCAGTTGGGAATCCAATGATGCATCCTTGTTCTGTAGTTTATGTACGAGAATGTTCGTTTGGGCTGCTTGAGTGCAATTTAAACAGATAATCAAAAGAATTTCAACGTATCGTTACAAATCACTTGAATTCAAACTACTTTCGTGTTGATATAGAGAGAGTGTTCAGTATCTCTGGCTATAATGTGTGGTATGTAGCGGTTTGTGTAGAGATTGATAGTAGGGTAGAAGCCCAAACAACCAAAAAAGAGGAAATAAAGGCGAACAAAGGGGAAATAAAGGGGTAAATGCTTTGGAAGAGAAAGGGAAAATAAGAAGAAAGACGCATCGGAATGTCGCCTTTTTCACCTGTCCAGGGGGAATACTGCGGATTTCCCCATTTTTGCCGCTTTGTCGATAAATTGCCGACTTTTTGCCTAAATGTCCGCCGAGTTGTCTACTTTTCGTCTAAATGGTATTTTTCTTTGTGAAAATGTGGGATCCTTTCGTGTACGTTTTTATTGGTGTATTTTTCCTTCTTAACCTCCAATGATGTCTATATTCATATCTATTATTTTCATCGTTTCGTTTGTCTGAAATAACTGTCTTATACTGTCAGAAACTTATCGATAGCGACCAACCTTTTGACGTCACCTGGGTTTCCGATAATTCCGTTGCGTTTATTTTACTCGTATTTCGTCGGCGGCCATTTTAGGCGACATTAGTACTGATTACTCCTGTCTGATTTAGCTAGTTGTATCCATCCATGAAGGACTGAACAATTTTTGTATTAAAAAGTGACGTAGTCATATGGTTTCACATTTCGAATATAATCATTACCTTACAGTTTGGCTTTTCCCCTCTAAGGCAATCCGAATAGTTATAGCATTACAAGACATTGTTCCTGGGTCATTAGGAAAACTCGTGTCTAACAGCTGGTTGTAAATGGCATCACTAATTTTTGCTACCGTTTCTGATGAAGAAAGTATCATCCCTGTATATTGCGTTTGTTTTTTTGCTTAAATTTATTCTTGCTAGTACCACATTGTCCTTATTTGTTTAAATTTTGTCTAGGTTACGGTGTACAAGTTGGTGCGCATTATCGACATTCGGTTTCCTTGAACTAAAGCGAATCACGGAGTCATTCTTGTAAACTGAGCGACTGAAATTCATAGCATTACATTTGTGACATTTGCTTCAAATCCTAAGTTATAAATACTGTTACTGCGTACACGTGTGCGTTTATAAACATACCTATCTCTAAACATTCTAAAACTTTTCACCAGAAAATAATGACTCACTATCAAATCATCTCCCTTGTCTTAATGACCACTTCATTCAACTTGGCGAGTTGGAGCAATTTAGCAACGCTACTAGTTTTTGAGAGGAACAATTGTAAAATGAACTGCCTGAAAGATTCCTGTTCACAATCGATTGATAACTGGGTGGTGATCAATGTCATGCTTGTCTAGTCTTTATTAGTGCAGATCGAGTGCTATCGATCATGTTGTAATGTGGCCACCAGTCCAGGTGACTCGACACTGCAGGCACTACATATTGAGATTTATATGGTGGTTGGGGGTAGTCAACAGGAAACCCTGGACCCGGGTTTCGTGCTACTTGGCACTCGTCAGCAGTTGTGATTACATCTCAGTCCTACAGGAGGTTAGTCGCGGCCCAGACAGCTCAGTGTTAACGTCTCTGACTGTGAAGCTGCGTGACACGTGATCGAATCCACCAGGGAGCACCAGTTCCTTCAAGATAACAGGTACAACTTGCTGACGAGTGCCAAGTAGCACGAAACCCGGGCCCAAGGTTACCTGTTGACTACCTCCAACCACCATCTAAATCTCAGATTCTTGTTAGATGCTTTACTGGTTGTGCAGACAAGGATTAAAGTTTATTCTATCAGACATCTTTGGAATTTGAACCGGTAGGATGCCATACTGAGTGCTGCTGGCAGCTGAGCGACGGTTATATCTGTCAATGTCGTTGCATTTCTTCATTGGAGCTGCGTATCGAGGACTACATATTAGTTTTAAGGTATTTTAATGAGCGTAACATATCACACTGACTTCTTCTTCATTATTTTTTAAGATCGCTAGCTGGGTTTCTGGAACGACACTGAACTCTTTTCCAGTTGTTGTATCGTCCTCAGCACAGTCATGAGAATAGAGATTATCAGTAGACGCTGAGCGGTTTACGGAATTTCCCCAAAGTTAACAGCAAAAGATGCAGCATAAATAACAGGTTGTGTGGGATTAGGAAGTAAAACAGCGTTGTTTTTACTTTCTATGCTATTCTTTTTTATGTTTTCACACAAGTATAATTTTGTCTGTTAAAGTAGTAGATCAGCCTTGTCCCAAGGTTAGAATGATGCAGACAAGGGAGTCAATGTATGATACATCTTCCTCTTGTTCCCATGTAATTTAACCATACACATCTTTCTAGTTGACTCGATAACTGTGTAAGACTACGAATAGGGCACGAAAAATAAACCCACTTATTAAATAAAGTATAGTCCTATATAATTTTAAAGCACTCAGAATACATTTCGGCGATTTTCATGGCAAATAAAATTAATTCTTCGATCGTTATTCAAACCCAATAATTTATTTAAAACACTACAAAAGACAATTTGCAGATCTCCAAAAATGTTGCACTATTTCGCACAATTACCCAGCTATTTTAGAAATCGCTAAAATGATATTATCTTATGTTTTGTAACAATGCTTCTGGTCGGTACTATGTTTTCCAGTGTTTTACTCTTTCTTGGAGTAGATAGACTGTTCTTACTCAAAAATCGTCATTATTGACCTCTTTGGACTCAAAACCGCTATTTTATTTGCCTTTTGTGTATTTGTAGCTCACTGACTATTCCATATAGCCTGAAATAAAAATGAAGAGCTGGAAAATCAACTGGTTTAAAAATGGTTTAAAATGGTTGTGGACGGAATAGAAGAAACTTTCGCTTAATAGGCTTTCATTTCTAGTATCAGGTGATCACGAATAACTCCAGGCAGTAACCTAGGTATGTTAACGATAAAAGAGGAAAAAGAAATTGGTAAACCATAGTATGATACTATCCTTAGACCATAAGAATAGATCAAGTTGCCTCTTAAAGGACTCCTGGGAAGCGCTTGAACTAGCGAATTCCAGCATTTGATAACTCTGATGGAGTAGAAGGTTTGACTACAGTCCGTTCTGCTATGTTGTGTCTCCAATTTCTGGGTGTTACCCCTTAGGTCGGTATTGGGACTAAGCTTTAG